AAAGGGGTAGTTGAAAATTGTGGACATAAGGTAGTATGAGATAATCACTGTTGGTGTATGGATGGAAATTATCCTGTGGTCAGAGATATCCTAGCAAGCCAGCAGCCTGTCAGACAGAAGTTAGGCCTAGACAGGGGGTTGCGATGGTTTGTCAGACAGAATCCAACATATTGTTTTGATTTTCATTATTATTAAGTCTCAAAAAGGAAAGACATGTCACTCCTGGAGTAGTTTAAAGAAACCCACAAGGGTTAATTTAGCTTATGTAGCCTAACTTAATTAATGCTGTATGTTGTTGTATGCAAATTCGCGGGCCACCGCCATCTCCCAGTCCTCAAGTACCCGATGTAACAGAACCCATCACCGGCCTCGAGTGGTTTGAAATGACCGCGTCAACTGGTAACAACTTTATAGAGTAAAATACTACTGTTGAAATACTACACATCTAATTGTTGACCAAAAGTTTGGTTGTTGCCACAGGTCCGTCCAGTTGTGATCGCAGAGTCCCCAGTTCACCATTGGCGTTAGCTTCAGCTAATATCCAGAGCTCCCCCCTCTGCAGTGAGTCTGCTAACAGAGGCTGCCCATTGTAATGTTGGCCTAGCTGACTAGGAACTGTTGATTTACTGGCAGTAATGAGGAGAAGTATTGTTCAGATACAGGGAATCATTACTTGAGTGTGCTTAGTTTAGTCCAGTTAAATGAATAATTTTGGCTAATGCACAAACATTTTTAAGCAAAAGGAATGAACTAATCCAAAACCTGCTTCTGTTACTAAAAAGTAAAAATGTAAAGTGAGGTCCAGGATGCATTTGCAATGGGGGGGATTTCCCTCTTTCTGGTTTATATATCCCTGCCTCTGCTCAATCATTTTTATCACCGTTGGGTACAAAACCTATTCCCGCCCCTCAGAGTGATCAATGCTACTTCACTAGTGATAGAACTGATCACAAAACTCACGGTTCAAATCGATCCATAGTTTTGTTAGGGTTGCATTCATAGCTGTCATTTACACTGGCTATGTCCCCATCACTTTTTGAAAGCATTTGCTAAAGGTTTTCTGAAAAGTACCTTGCAACAAGAAATGTTAAATAACACATAAAAATTCTATGAGAAAGGCACATTAAATGTAAATATAGAAGAAACAGATCTGCCTTGCCCCTAAAAAAGTAACTTAGGCTGAAGAAACAAGCTGCTGATTACTGCGTTATATTCGATAATATTTCTATATTCTGAATTGTCACCGGCCACATGAATTTTGTCTCCCTTCATATAAATAAAGACATTGTCACCATAAATTGGTGCAGAAAATGTCTCTAGAATGCAGGAAAGTAAGAGTTAATGCTCAAAATATTCCCACCCATCGAATAGCCTATTTAATCAATGAATAATTCATCTGAATAGCATTGGAGTATATTCTTGTCTTCTTCTTGTGTCTTCAATATTGTGCATTATCACGTCTCGTAGAAGTGTTTCGTTGAACACCTAATATGAGTCCTTAAATGTCCCCACCACTTTCTTAACACAAAGTGACGCCCTTGGTTACATTTATTTTATAATGAGTTGATTCGCCTCTGATGTAGCTGCGTCTCTGTCTGTAATCACCACGCTTTCGTCTTGCTCAGTGTCCCGCCCACGGCACTATCTGATTGTTTACAAGTCGTGAGAAATGGCCTATCAGCAGTCACGAGATATTTGCTGCGGTGAGCTGCGGAGCTGTGTGTCGAAGGGAATGCAGCCGATATTACTGAAGCTGCCATAAACATCACAATCTGATGATCTGTTTCTAAGATGACAAGCAGCCCAGTGAACATGCCCGAACAAACAGCTACGGGGTTCCACTTAACTCACTTTTAAATCAGTCGCTCTCTCCCCTTACCCACTCCCTTCACTTCAGAGTTGAACACAACATGCCTGTTTTGTCTACGGTAGATATGTGTGTGTGTGTGTGTGTGTGTGTGTGTGTGTGTGTGTGTGTGTGTGTGTGTGTGTGTGTGTGTGGTTCTGAAATGAGGAATAATATACAGAGTAAGGAAACATATTACAACCCATTAAACCAGTCATTATAAAAAAACTAAATTAGAAAAATACATGAATAAACACCGCTATACTTAGACCGGCCACAAGGTGGCATCACCAGACCACTGTGGTGCCAGCTAACCACTTTTACACACTAAATTATCCCACTAAAGAACAGTTGACAGCTAGGCAGCTAGTAATAATAAAAAGGTGCATTGAATGTAATTACATTAAGCACAGGCTCTACCATTGTTAAAGGGGGGCAGAAAGTACCTCTTAAAGACAGGGGGTGGTAGGTTCTATGTGTTGTTTGCCTTTTTAACAGTATTAATAAACAGTGGGAAAATTTTTTTTTCAACATTGCAATCAATCCACAGTTCACCTGCACATCTGTGGTGGGTGGGTGGGGGGGTTCATGATAAAAACAAACAAATCGTACTCTGGTGAGGTCAACCTTTTCCTGATATTGATTGCTTTCAGGAGAAGTGGAACACATTAACTAGAGTAGGCTACTTGAGAATTTCCACAAGGTTAGGCTACATTGAATGCTACTATGTTTACTATACTTACTAGTAATTATACAACTGAAGTAGCCTACAGATTCGAATTTTACATACAAAACATCATGTCTTCTAAAATATCTTCTAAAATATGATTGATTTAAATTACCCAACAGTATTTATGATGTAATTATGATCTCAATACTTCTTCAGCCACTGCATTTCTCCCATAAAGTCTGAACCTTACAGTACATTTGTCCATATTTGACTCAAGAACAAATGGAAACAAATACTACTGCATTTTACAGACTTTGCAGTCCCATCCACCCTAGCACAGGACACATTGAAGTTTTCCCTTGGTCTGAATGATGAGTTCTGCAGACCAGCCAACAACAGTACAGTATCACCAATGGATAAGAGCCTAACGTCAGGGTGACAGTGTGGATTTCATAAATGAGCACAGTCTTTCAGGTTGTATACTGCGCAGTGCACACCATATTTTGTAGATACTAATTGTGTTAGCCTTTTTATCCTTATTTTTTTTGTACAAACATCTACAATGCAAACTGTGCCTACCTTTGGAGAGCAAGAGCCATCCTAGAAATCACAGAGGAAAATGGAGTAGAGGAGCGATAGACTTATTAAAGAATTTAAAAGTAAAGGTACAAACTGAGCCTGGAAGCTGTAAGTCGCCTTACAGTCATCTTTTGTTAATTTGCTTAGAATGTGTTTTCCTTAAATATATGCTAATGTGTTCACATTTATTTCTTTAAAATATTTGTAAATAACTTTGTAACACTGTTTCTTTTACTTGTCTTCGTTATTATTATTTTACACAGTGAGGTACTTCTTATTAAGACCCTGTAGGTGTCACTGTTATATATTTTATTTGGCACATGTGCAGCTGCTATTGTTTGTGTGAGAATAAGAAAATGCTATGATTGTTAGACAGACAAAAACAATGCATTTTGGCAAAGCACCATATATGCATTTCACGGGTCAAACAAATGACATTTAAATATAAAAACGTTGCCATTTAACACCGTTATTTTGATTATTTGCTGTCTCATTTCACTCATTTATGTCGTTTTACCCATGGTTTTTACTTCAGGCTTAATACACCAGGATGAAATTAACTGAGCTAGTTGGTCAGAATGAAAACTGAACCTGGGGGCTGCTGAACTGAGGTTAATAGAAGGTAATAGAGGCTTAGCAAAAATGTTTAATGAAGATGGCTGGTTTGAAGCCAGAACCTTGTTTTGAGATTTGTTGAAGATGCAGGGACTACAACTAGACTGTTGAAAATAATGACCATTGTAGTTAAAACTTTAGTTATATGTAAAATGGTTTTGGGCAAAGAGGGTTTTGCTGTGACATACTTCAATGTTGCAGCAGGCTTAGAATCTCTGTAGATGAAAGGACAAAAGTTTCGGACATCTGTCACACGCCAGCGCATGCCCTCCGCCCTTCAAACAATGAAGCTGTGGAGAGGGGGTGGTGTCCAGTGGTAGAGGGTCAGGATCTTCTCCACTCTTCCTGTCCTTTTATTCTGTGCTCTCTTGAGCTTCTTTTTTTTTTTTTTTAGGCCTTTAAACAATACAAATGATCTTGTATTTACTTACCAACAAAAATGTGAATTTATAATATACCAGTTATACATTTTACTCACAAGAGAAATAAAGATTAGGTCAACACTTAATATTACAGGTCCAGTACTTCTTAATCACTTCTGGAATGTTTACTGGAAAGTAATGTAACATTGTACAAATCAAAGGGGAAAAGGACCAATGTCCTGACACTGGTAGTTAAGTAAGTTTACTTAGTTAAGTTTAAAAGCTTGTATCGCTTTCCAGAGGAACTGCCTGTAACAAAGTGCTCAACTTAAACCCACATTAAAACATATAATCATTCATTTATTACAGGAAACTTTACTCCTCATATGTTGAATTGTATGCTTGCCTGTGGGCAAATTACACACTTTTGCATGCTTCAGATGACATGTTGTCTTGTGACTAAAAGACTTGGGGTTAATTTATTGGAATGGTACCTACCATCGCAATATAATTAATGCCAAATTAGGAAACTTCCATGAAATTGTAAAGAAATTGTTGTGAATATATGGACCAGTAAAAATAAATAAATAAAAGAAGCATTGCCAAGATTTGATCGCACCGCATGATCGTCACTAGCTGACAGGAGATGTGGGGCATGGCAAACACTTTTGTCAGTGTCAAGTTGGTGTTATAATATTGGGTGAAGCAGACAGAAGAGGTGGAGTTTTACTGTGTGGACGATAACTTAATTATTGTTACAGGTCCTACAGGCAGCAATATGTCACTGTCATGCTGCATTATTTAGTTGGTCATTATATTTGTAAGGAGAAAACATCACTGGTGAAATGATAGTTCTCAACCTGTTATATTTTAGTTAATGATATGGACACTCAAATCTCAAACATGTTTCATAGACAAAAAGACAAAGTCAAGTTTTTTTGGTGAGATCTTCATTTCCATGACACAACAGCCTTTAGTGAGGTAGACTATAACAGGTCAAGAATTAGAAACCTTGCCCCTTAAACTGGCATGTGAAATGACATGAAATAAATATTTTCATGTACAATGTCATCAAAATGAGGTAGAAATGGTTACAGAGAATGTACAAGACACAACAAAAGTACAACTGAATTACAGAGATAAATTCAACTCCACTTACTTCAATGAATCAGAGTAACACCAAGAAACAGAAAAAACTGTTGTTTGTCACCATGTGTAGGTTAATGTAGAGCACATTCTTTGTGTGGCATTAAAGAGCATTCAATTGTTGTAGCTAAGCGCTTAAATACTTTTTAAAATCTCGGGGTAAGAACACATTATTATTTGTGTAAGACCTTTTAATTTATCTGTATTTCTTTCCTCCACATTTGGGGATGTAAATCTTTGTGTGATGATACAATTTTTCCATACTCCACATTTTGAGTAAGTTTAATTTTATGAATGTGCTTATTTCTTTCCAAAAGAGGCATGAAAATTCTTTTTCATTACAATTAATTAATTTTGCAAAAAGAAAAAATAATAGTATGGCACAACTTTTGAAGGGATGAACAAAACAAAAAAAGCTTCTACTCTGATGATTCATATTTAACTTCTTCCTTTTTCATTATGTCAAGTCATGTGAGAACTAAAATTAAGCTGATTGACAGGTGACACTGTGTCAAGCAGTTTTAAAATACTGATACGGGAAATGGACATTGGACTATTAAGACATTTAATCAACATACCTATTATAGAGCATATACTGTAGTGTGTGTATGTCTTGATATTTCCAAGGTTGTTTATCAGGAGTGCTTTGTTTTGACAGTTTGTCCACAAAACCGTTTCCCCCACTGCTAACTACACTAACACTTAACATGTCATTCATTTCTCCCCAAAACCTATAAGAGAATTACATCTATACATGAAGAAAATATGTTTCATTTATCTAAAAACATCATTGATTTACATAATGGCATGTATTGTCCTTTCAAAAAAAAGATATCTGAATTACATTCAACATTTCAGGCCTTGGTACAAAAATCTCAAGTTTAATTTCCCAGAGCTAAGAAGCTGTGTGTATGTGTGTGCGTGCGTGTGTGTGTGTGTGTGCGTACATGCTTTCTACTGTTCAAAGGCCTTGTAAGTTCATCGTCTCCCTGAAGTCTTCAGAGTATATTTTGCTCTTAATGAAAGCCATGGCTCCGTTTTCATCTTGCTCCGTAAAGCTCCCTACAAACACCGTAAGGTAATAACATACATTCTTATTTGATCATTCTGAGGTAACAATATTCTTCCTGAGTATTCAATAACACAACTGTAAATCATCCTTTTGAGAGGCTAAAGTAAAGAGAATGCATATATAAAAAAAGTCAATCCTTGCAGACAAGCGGTAGATCTTCATAAAGAAAGTAATGATGAGCTAAAATTGTTGGAGGCGTTTACTCAGAAGCACTTATCCTCCTCTGCAACCTGCATGCCTCTCAGTCCGGACCGTGCATCCAGTCAGATGTAACAAACAGGCTCATGCATCTTTAAATGATTTGCTCTGAGTGAAACTTTTTGGTGAAACTTTGCTTTTTGGTTGTTTTGTAGTTTTGATATTAAAGACAAGGTATAAGCTGGACCAGGTATTACAATATTCGCATTTTCTTTGGCAAATATACCTGTTAGTTGTCCTATCAGCAGCATGTAAACAACACGTTTTGAAGATGATCTGCATATACTTGAATACTGTCATTGTGTGAATGCTAAATACATTTTTGAGTTAACATAAAATCTTAGATTATTTCCCCACTCTTTCTTTACATCAAAACAATTTAAAGGGCGGCTTCATGTATACCATGTCATCATTTGATAAGCAGCTCGGTAGGTGTAAACTGGACAAAAACAAAAGTTGTTCAGCAATGAAAAAGGTACAATAAGCAGGACACACAAACAGGATAGAATATGATAACATGAAAAGAAGGGGTTAAAGAAAATGAAAAAAGTCAAGAAGAATGAGTAAAGGTTAGGGGTAACGCAGGGGAGGATGAGCAGGGAAACATTCATATCTCAAGGCAAAGTTACACACCAAGCCTCGGAGTCAGCTGTGTAAAGTAGCAGTGATTGTGCTGAAGTAGTATGGCAATCTCACCATTTCAGTTATTGCTCTCCTTACTTTTTGGTCAGTAATGATTTTTGTGGTGTGGTAAAACGCATTGCAGTCAAAGGCTTTGTACATATACAATGGCTACAAATAATAACACCAACTTATTAACCAGCAACGTTGCAGTGCTGCCGCCACAGTAGCAGAAAGGAAATAAATAGGATCCTGAGAGAAACAAGACACTCTTACATTTAGAATGCCCTTACCTCACCCCCAAGACTTACCTCAACCTTACAAGACAAAATGCCTCTGTGAATTTTTGGAAAAAACACGAATAATGAATATGTTAAAGATGCGCAAGAAATACCAGTCTTGTGCCCTCTTGTGTTTGCTAGTGAAATTAAACCATTGACAAATCCAATTTTTTTCCCCGAAGTCTGTCAGAATTAAGAACTCTGTTTGGTTTCAAAGAGTGAGAGAATCCTCCAGGGTTGTCAGCGCCCTCCAGTGGGGTCCTCAGATCGTGTGTGCGATGCAGGTATCTTCATAGACACTCTCTGCTGAGGAAAGTTGTGCTCCCCTGATGCACTCTCTCCTGCTAGGCCTGATGGTGGGCTGTAGTCCCCTGCCCCGCCATAAGGGGGTGACATCAGTGGCTTTCCTGGTTTGTAGGCCTGTGGGTCTGAGGCTGAGCCACTCATATCGTAACCATTGCCCTGCCCATTGCCGTGACCTTTGCTATGACTGTTTCCATGGCCGTTGCTATACTTCCTGTAGCGTGTCCCCTCCACCTCTGCTCCCTCCTGTCCTTCCTCTGCCATCTCAAAGGCCTTGCGTTTCAGTGGCACCCCTGGATCAGAGCTCCCTCCAAGGCTGTGAGATGGGTAGCTGTAACTGCCCCCCACCATGGTGGGCCTAGGGGCCAGAGGGGTGGGGGCACTAATCCCAGAGGGCAGGTAGGAGGCACTGGGGTGGCTGTATCCAGAGGACAGGCTGGTTTGGGGGTAGCACCCTGGAGGGTAGTTGTAGATAGGAGTGCTGGCGCTGTAGCTAGGCACTAGAGTAGATGCAGCCTGCAAAGAGTGTAGAGGAGCAGGGGGAAGTGCTGCGCTGGGTGGAGGGCAGTATCCTGAGGACAGATAGGTGCTGTTGTACGCAGGAGGGTATTCCTGAGATGATGGGGTACTGCAGGGGCCAGCACCACTGTAGCCCGGCTCAGAGACCAAGTTACTCACTACTGTCACACTTCCTGTGGTAGGGATGCCCACAGATGCAGAGCCCACCTTGGTGCCAGTTAATGCCTCCAGTCCAGGGTAACACTCCATGCCCTGACCATGAGCCCAGGGCTCAGATTCAGTTTTCAGGAAAGTCCCAGGCTCTGTGTAGCCCCCTGCAGAAGGGCGTTCATAGGACAGCTCCAAGCCTGAGTACTTCTCAGCATAGCGTTTGAGCAGCGAAGAAGCAGTAAGGGCTGATATGTCATCACTGGCCCAAGGATAACCTGCAGGGGCATAGCCGCGGCGAGAAGCTGTAGCATAAGGGTCATGTTTGTGGGCAGACGGCGGCGAGGTGGTAGAGGTGACGTCTAGGTGCTGCTCAGGCCACTGAGATAAGGGAGCAGCGTGCTCCGGAGACCAGTGCATCTTTAACAGACCTGACATAAAAAAGACCAGAGCAGAATTAGGCCACACAATCTTGAAATGGTGTATCAAATGTTTCAAATTAGGAGTACATATTTGCATCATTTTGTCTGGACCATATAAAGGTTGGTAGACCACATTTGAGGTATTTTGCCCTTCAAGCAAGCCAAGAGTCTGACTTCAGAAATATCTGCCCTCATAATCACCTTGGCTAGCTGACCCTTTTCCAGAATCATGTCAGTCCTTAGCCCGTGCTCTTCGACGCATTCTCATCCAGGCAGGGGATGACTTTTCTAATCTTTACATGAAGCCGGCTACATAGCCCCCAGCCTGGTCTCCACGGCGATAAGCCTCTATCCAGCCTGCACACTGCACTCTGCCTTTGCCTCTCTCACATTGGGGCCATTGTTGTCTCTTTGTGGCTCTCTTAGTCCACAAAGCCGCCCCCACTGAGCGTGTGATCTAATTCAGCCCAAACCTCAGGGGTCTGCTGGACAGGGGGAGTGGGGTCAGTGTGTAGGGTAGTTTTCTTATTAAACTACACAGATAGACTAGAGCGGTACATCCATGAACAGTATTGCAAGTGTACTGAGCAATCAGTAAAGTCAGATTTTCATGTGCCATGAGTGATTACACATGCACATTAACACAAACAGAGTAATCTGTTGGTTTAGTGGTTGTGGGCTTTGATTGGCTTTCGCAGGCCATGTCTTTTTGAACAGGCATTAGGCTGACATTCCAGGCATTGCTGAGTATTATTAAACTGTCCTGACCAGGCCTGGGCTGGAGGGGCTTCCCTACAAGCACTGGACAGAGCAGGAAGTCTCTGTCTTGGTTTCACCAACAGGAGTAGACACAAAATTCCTGTCAGTATATTGTAAAAAATTATTTTTTGAATATGTTATCAATGAATTGGCATTGATACAGATCCTGTTCTCCTGCAATATTTGGGCATCACCCATGTTCTTCTGCTGTGTGAATCTTTCCTTTTGGAACTGTTATTTCTGGCATTATTGCCTTCTATGGATCAAGATTTGTTTTTTTACATACTATGTTGTCTTAGTTTGCCGTATTAAAAATGCTTCATGAATTTGGAAAAAGTAATTCATTCCTTCTTTTTGAAAATAATCTTCCAATTTTAGAGAAATGCTTGACAGATAACATCATGTACCATAGATGACTATCTTGCAGTCACTGGCACTACGTGATTGGCACTATTGTGATTGTTTCGTGAATTAAGCTTATATTTATGGTTGCAACTTACAGTTCATTTCATCATTGATTAATATGCCTGTAATTCTTTTGGCTCATTGATTTGTCATTCTGTCGATAAATTGAATAAAGGAAGAATAAGAAAATAGTGGGATATGCACAGTAAAACTTCCCAGAGCCCAAGGTGACATCTTTGTATGTCTTCTTTTGTCCAACCAACAATCTGAAACCAATGAGAGAGTAAAACAGCAAATTCTTTCATTGCAGATGTTTGAACCAACCATTTGATTCAGCTTTATTAAAGTCTCTTCATCCAAATGTTCTCCGTATTGGGCAAAAATGCAAAGAAGCTTAAAATAATAGCAGCACTAGTAGTTGGATGCTTTTAGGCTTTTATTTTACACACACACACACACACACACACAGTCATGTCTGGAATTAAACTGTCTACATGTGGATCATGCTAGGTTGTGTCACATGTCCGGACCACCAGATGGGCCTCAAACAGTCCACATCTTGAGCCCTGAATTAAATGATCCTTCAGCCCGATAATCTCATTCAATCCAGAGATTGTAGTGCTCTTGACCAGCACAAGACCCACTTTGGATCTGAGAAATCCCTATGCTCCTGGGAATTCTGACTGGTCATGGTACCCATCCTGACTACAAATACATTACTGGTACAGGGCATGAAAAGAGCTTGTATTCCCACCAGCACACATTCATACCTAGAGAAACACAGTGGCAGAGACCCACAAATGTGCTCAACATGAGAGATATGAGATCAGAATCAAAATGACAGCATATCATGCCCCGGGAAAATAATAATAATAATAATAATAATAATAATCTTTATTTGTAGAGCACTTTTCAAAAACAAGTTACAAAGTGCTTTAACAAGTGTAAAGACAATAATACAAAAATGATACAAGATAAAAGCAAGAAAACATTGAAAAGACTAAAATACAAGTTTAAGATAAATATAAAATAAGTACAATTGAATAAAATAAAATAAAGTCAAATAAAATCGGGAAAGGCTCTCCTATAAAAGTATGTTTTAAGAAGGGACTTAAAAGAGTTCACTGACTCAGCCGACCTGATTTCCTCGGGCAGGCTGTTCCAGAGCCTTGGGGCCCTGACAGCAAACGCTCTGTCCCCTTTAGTTTTCAGTCGAGACTCTGGAACAGACAACAGACCTCTGCCCGAGAATCTCAAGGTACGTGCTGGTGTGTATGGGACTAAAAGGTCAGAAATATAACAAGGCGAGAGGCCATGAAGAGCTTTAAAAGTGATCAATAAAATTTTAAAGTCAATTCTAAAACACACTGGGAGCCAGTGTAATGAAGCTGTGGTCATATTTCTTTGTTCTGGTTAAAAGCCTGGCAGCTGAGTTCTGGACAGCCTGGAGTCGATCAGTAGATTTTTGGGTTAAACAAGTGAAAAGGCTGTTGCAATAATACTTAAAATACTTAACCCTCACTAGGAGATGTTGATTAATTGTATTTCACAGTAAATCTACAGATCATGGCTAGATTACATATGGTGCCTGCTGGCCACAGGCATAGGGGCCCACAGGGTTAGGGGGCCCCTAAGCACCCTACCCACATTGCCTAATGTGAAGCGACTGTTACATTTCTCATTACATTGTCAAAGGGTTCAGTCATTTGTGTCAATATCAGAGACTTTCTTAAAAACCTGAAGGAATAAACTAAATGTTCACAAGCAGAAAGCCATCTTGACAGCTTCAGAGGGAGTGTTCATTTCTTCACATTTCCTGTAAACTGTTAAAGCTTTTGCTCGGTGTTGTAACTGACACAGGGTCCTTCAACTATGTGTCTCTTAATATGTGCCACAGACACAAAAACAATGAAAGAAGCAGCTGCAGCATTTTTTGAACAACAAATATTTAAGTGATTGGACCTAAATAATGTTTTAGTTTTGGTATAGAGGCCCTGATGGATAAAATAGTTCGGAAGCAGTGTTCTGTTACTGATTCTTTTGTTTTTGACTCTTAGCTTCAGTCATCACTTCCTGACAGTGGACTTTTTCCTCATTCCCAGGATAGAGGATCGCATGTGTCGTATGTTGAACAGATTGTAAAGGTCTTTGAGGCAGACGACCTTTCAGCTCCAGAAGGGTGATTTTTGTTTCCTGCACTTCACAACAACCAAATCCCATTCCGGCAACTATACTATACTCAACAGCAGAAGCTAACTACAAAAACTGTACCTGCATTAGCTCATGCTAAGATGCAGTGTGGCAGTGTTTACGCACTCGTCCTGGCATCATGCATGCAGGCAGACACACGGGTCACCAGACTAATATACTGGTCTTGCTGATTGCAGGCAGGAGCCAATCGTTTGCCTATAATCTATCCAAGACATATTCGACCGCAGTAATCTACTGTGTCTGAAATCCTCATCAGAATTCAGCGGAGGAATGTGAAAACCGAGCGAATGGAGAGGATCACTCTGAGATCAGACGACTGACGAACTGAGCTGGAGGGTCTGGATGGGTTAAATACCAGACCGTGGAAACCAGACTAATGAAGGATTAGAGCTCACAAGGCTCATGGGAGTGTCAGTGCTTGGTGACAATCACCACTGGTGAGCTTACACCTTATAAATGCAGTAAGCTTGTAACTTAGATGAAGGCTTTATTCCGAGGTGGCGTCACATAATGAATGGCTTCATAATTATTTTTTAGTGGACACTAATTAATTATTAAAATGGTGTCCCAAAAGCAGAAAACCACAGTTTGTTACTCTAAGTAAACACTGTTGCTCTCTTATCAGCTGACCACTGTTATGCAATCAGTTACCTTCATATTATGTAACCGAAGTTTTTTCAAACGTTCACTCTTTGTACTCAGTAAGATAGTCTGAGATCAGATTTTACTAAGGCTGCTCCTACATAAGAAATTTTTATATGATAAAATGTAAGGTAACCGCCATGTTTGCCTATTTTTCAAGAAATGTGAATTTCTGCAACAGATTAAACTTACTTACTTACTGTTCTTGAGTGCTATAGCATCAGACATCTGTGTTAAAGTGCAGATATTAGGGAAGTAAGGTTTGGGTATTAGGAGGGATGATTGAGGGAGCCCCTAACCCTAATCTAGCACCTCGTGTTGGCTTGTGGCTCATGCTTGGCTTACCAAGAGACAAAGATGAGCACTAAGCCAGCTTGGTACTATGACAGCTTTCCTTAATCATTGTGATTATCATACTGTCGACCAGCACTAGCGTTTCCTTCTTTGCCCCGAAGCAGTTCGGCTACTGGACACAACAGACAAATGGAAAGCTCATAGGGATGAGAAAACTACAAATCTTTTTGACCAGTCAGTTTATATCAATAGCAATGTGATATGTATGTTTATAATTATGTGTAGGCTCTAACTGTTTGGTAAAATGATGTCACTTCTATTGTTAAGTGATCTTGCACCAGTTTACACCACAGCAAGCATCCTATAAATGTAGAATTATTCTGCATTTGGATCCCCATTTGCTTTGACCAAGTAGTTGCACGTTTTCCTGGAAGTCCAGTTTTGTTCCCCAGCCTCCTCCTTTTAGCCGCATTTAGGATCTTTTAAATCTGTGTTTGTTCACTCAGTATGAGTTCATGTTCATTTAATTCAGAGGATTCCCCAGGATGTGTCCAGGCAGTTTGTGCATAGATTAGTTCTGAATCTTGTTATTGTTGTAAGTAATCTTAATAATAGGTTATGTACTTCAGTACATAGTAATTCACTACTGCAGTGCCTTAGTGGGATGAAAGCAATCGTTTCTGCATTTAAAAAAAATCTCATACAAATCAAATGCTACCTGTCACTTAAATGTACATCAGGACACCAAGGGTGTTTGGTGTTGGTGGGAGCATGTGATGTTGTGTTCATTTTGCACCTGCATATATGTTTACATACTTTTCCAAAGTATTATTACTGTGTTCACTAAAGATCAACAAGCCTGGCTTATCTGTCTTTTCTGGACAGAGGCCTCAGCACTGGGAACTTTCTCTCATTGAAATGAATGAGAATGCTGGGTTTTTTTGACAGTATTTTAAAGTTGGTCTAAAGGTGGCCTAATCATTTGTACTTATGCAGACAACTTAGACACCTGGCTTATAGCTAAGGTGGGGTGACTCAGTCTCTGTTCAATACCCAAAAGTAACTAAAAGAATGATAATCTTAGCAGCCACCTCTCTTGTCTGCCAGCAGCCTGCAACATCTTAGATGCTTGCATAATAAGTTGTGTTATGAGTGAAGCTTGAATACAAGGGTAAAATGTACAGTTTAGGGTAGACAGCAGTGCCATATTATAGCAGTGTTTATTCTAAAGCCAAACGTGGTCATGCTTACATCCATTAATTTCTTCACATAGACCAGTAGCAGTGGTGGTAAAGAGAATGTTTACGCTTCAAATGGTTTGGCTAGATGAAAATTAACCAATTTGTGTAGCATTATTGAGAAGAACAAGATTACATCAGAAGAGGAGATGGCCTGGGAGAGCACTAAACGTGTTGAGGCAAGAGGGGATCAATCTGAACGAGATAAGAAGGAACATACTCACATCCCAAGTAGACCAAGCGTGCAGACACTACATGCAGTTATGTATTTGAAGAGGAGCATGTAAGCTGCAGAAGAAAGCCTCTGGGAACAAAAAAAGAAACACCACAGTCACCTCCAGCGAAGCTCCCATGGCACTTACTCTCAAAAGTATAAGTCTGCCTTGAGTGTGCATGTGCATGCAATTAATCGCCCCGAGGCAAGCCAGTAAGTCTCCTTTAATCCTAGAGCAGGAAGTGAGGTAAAATTACAGTGGTGTTGCAAACTCTACGTTCTCTCTTCATCAAGACCTATACGTGGATACTACATGGCCTTTGGTATCACCAAACATCACATATACATAGTAGTGCGAGAGCACCAGTGTGTAAAGCAGGGAGCAGGATCCATCCAATTAAGAGATGGACTTGAACGCAACCCTCCCAGCTCTCTGTTGAGCCGTCAACAACTTCCAGCAAAACCAGCTCCAGTACTCTAACCATTACTCCTTAATGATATGTGGCAAACTCTGCAAATTCACCGAATTATTTTCTGTCTCCAGAAAACACAGTTATGCAAGTCATGGATGCTTTCTGTGCGACGGTGGAGGCTAGTTTGACATGTGGTCCACTACTTGGTCAGTATGAGTAATTAGGGGTTAATTAGATGAAAGTACGTGTGGGGGAAGGGGCTGGCTGGAATGGGATTTGGGGGTTGTGAAGCATCAGAGACCATTGGCTGGCTGGATTGTGAGTGGAAACAAAAATCACCCTTCTGGAGCTGAAAGGACCTCTGTTAGTGCTTTTACTCCACTCACAATAAACAAAGACTTATATTTCCTGAGGATGGACAGACACACGCACCTAGATGCACACACAGGCTCCTACTATATTGAGGTTTTGGTGCAGAGTTGCGCTTCAGCTGGCCAACAGGCACAGGAGCTCTTGATCATCTATCGGATGAGTCAGCCTGCTGGAATGCCAGGAATCTAACCTGAGATCTATTTACAAAGCACATATCCTCTCCATACTCTCAACACACACTGTCCACGCCCAGGCTAAAGGAAGGGAGTGCAAAAGCAGATAGAGAGGGAGAGAGAACATGCTTAGTTGCAGTGCTGATAAATGACCCTATCGGCTGTTTGCACATTATTGGGTGATTTGTATTAGTTAGAGTTAATTCACACCACTGCTTGTAAGATCAATGCAGAACACATCAGAGGAGAAGTGGAATATGAGTATACACAGAGCGTGTCAAGGTTCCTGTGGTAATGGACTATGGACTACACGCACACACCCCACTCAGATATCTCTGTCTTTCTTGCTCAAAGAGTAAATGAGGTTTAGATTGTTATGTAAGAGGTTATGTTATGTAAAACGCTGAGCATGAAGCCAGTGTGAAGGAGGATCTACTGAGGAGAAAACTCCCCACCCTTTCCCGTTCCCCCTTTTCTCCAAGCCTGCACAGTCCACCAGGCCACACCGCTGTCAGCCAGTCAACTACTGTACCATATACTCATCAACGTTTTACACATATGTACCCTACAAGTAATTTCTAACTACAAATTTTAATCAGAATATGGCTTTTCCCAATCAAACAGACACACCCAATCACACAGATTTATCTCTTCTGAGAAACTAGAAACTTACTTTAAATCATTTTCATCCTCTTTTTCTTCACATTTTATTGTTCACTTTTCCTTCACTCTGATTTTCTTCCCTCCTTTCTTGAGCCCACCCCTTTTCTCTGTGTGCTGTAGGCAAGATGGAACCGTGTGTCCGATCCTGTGTGGTCAGTTTTCCCCTCCCCCGCTCTTTTAGCTCACACACACACATATGTGGCTGGCCTGGCCTCTCTTTGCTTATTGTGTCCACTCATATATCAAGCTGCAGCTGACCAGTCCCACCTCACGTCCTCTCCTGCTGCCCTTCACTTTGCTCTTTATCTGTCCCTGTCATTTTACCACCAGTGGCACAGGTCTTGACTACAAAACGTAATGAGGATCTAAGGTGTGCTACAATTTGCTTAACAAGCTTTCAAGATTACTATGCAGAACTAATGTGTGTGTGTGTGTAGGCGGAAGGCCATGTTTATTTGTCCCTCTGTACAGGACTAATGAGAAGCTCTTGACACCAGGTTACTAACGATCTGGCTTTCATTCACCCTGGTAACTGGCAACTAAAAAAGGGGTGAAAACTGCTCATTACTCTCTTCATGAGGGTCATTATGGACAGAGACCATAATGAGGTGTGGGTAATTGTGATGTATGTTTACTGGTTTGTGTTTATGTGTCTGCAGACTGACAAGAAATGTGTGAGTCTGGGAGATTTTATTAAAGGAGTAGTTGCTATAAAAAAAGGAGGGCAGCATAGGGTTGTGTTTAGTCGAAGTTTCTGTGAGAAGAAATCTAACGTGACGCTGCAAGTCTTTTTGAGGGAGGAATGTGACATTTATACGTTACTAAAACTTCTGCTTCCTCTCCCTACAAAGGAGGGAGTTCTCTGTTTTCTGCTGTTTGGCTCTGCACATCTGTGTAGCTCTTAGGAATACAAAAACCTAGAAGTAAATCCCTGTTGCATTATTCCAATCAGGTTAGCGTTGTAATCCTGTTAAAGCTTGGCCTAATCAATAGCCCAGTCAATCAATATAAGCATATTCATCAGCTTGGATTGCATCCTCTCATGATTAGCACATATACAGGCGAGGGCTATACTCTGATGTGTCAGAGAGATTTATATGATTTATTCTGCTTTTGCATATATTTTCTAGTATCTGCCCCCTCTAATGACACTGGAAACAAAATGCTGCCAAGATGTACGGTGGCAGTAGCAGGGCTTCTCTGTTTATTCTGAAGAAGACACTTCATCTAGGCTGTGTTTTTATGAATCGTGCAAAGCGAGCGGTCTTTAAAAACACCACCACCACAGTTATATATACACGATTTTACAGTGATACGCACAAAACATACAAAAAAAAAAATAATTTCCAACTTAAGTAAAGATATATTAGGGTATCCCCAGAATCTCAAGGTATTATGGCGCTATCATCGTTTAAAAAGTGTATAAACATTTTATGTCTCATCCGTTCTTGTGAAAAGCTCTGAATACAATCTAGATGAATTGCTCCACTGTGCTACTTCACCATGTTCATGCTGCTTTTTAGAAGAGACAGAGCGAACGACTGAACACTTTCTGTGAAATTCCTCAATGCAAAGCCTGGAGACTCAGCTGTTAAACCCATTAGCATATCTGCCTTCTCAAAATGACTTCTTAGAGACCCCCCCCCACCACCACCACCACCACCACCACCCTTCCCTCTACTGAGCCACAGGAGATGAGTCTTGGACAAAAGAGGAGCCAAAAGAAGAGGTTGTACAGAAAAACAGACTCAAAGCAACTTAGGTCACATTGTTCCATATGCCATACAGACCAATCATTGGACATGACTATAACATATTAATCCAAGCACAGGCAGTGTACACACATGTAAAAAACAAAAACAAAAATACATATATATATATGAATGAAGACTTACTGTATGGGGTGACAGGACTTAGCATTCTGCAGCCCTGGCCAGGTGAAGAGGAGAGGACCTGGTCCACTTGGTGCTAGTAGGTACCAATATGGCCCAGCTGCATGCTCTGGGGCCTCCCTGGCCTACTGCTTCTCCTGTTGCTGGTGGTTGTGCGGCTGCTGGCTGGGCTAGTGACCGGTCTCCTGCAACCATCCATGGTTCATTTCACAGTTCAACACTGATCCGACACACTGCCACCTGAAGAGCACACACATGCCAGTGTCAGAGCGAAAAGACACAGTGAAAATGGCTAGGTTGTCTATTTTGGCTAGGTTGTCTATTTTGATTGATACAGTCACTTGCACTCCTTGGAAACCTTTGACAAAGTGATAAATGTATAAATAATCAAAATGTTATTGCTTGCTTGCATTTAATACATGTTAAATTCAATATTCCTATTAAAACAAAAAAAAATATAATACTTGTATACGGATTGATTGATATTGACTAATAATGAGTGTCTTATGCTCTCTGAATTTTGCTTTCCTCAGTTTTTCTGTCTGTTTATGTGTGCACATACACATGCATGTGTTACCGTTCAAGACAGATTTTGAATGCTGAGTGCCCTGACAGAGAGAGGGCTTTTACCCTCTGACCACAAAACCGCACGGCCAGCGTAGAAAAGTTTCTCATTCTTTGAAGCCCCCCATGTTTCAACACAAACACTACAAACCACCACAGCAAAGGAACTTTGTACTCATACCATTCGGGGGGGGGGGGGGTGTAGAATAGGAGAGTGCATTGACATGTAAGAACAAACCTAGGCTGACATATAGAGGACAAACTAACGAGAATGCCATACGATTTGTGTGAGAGAGAAAAAATAGCAATGTAGTAAGCAGTAATATGTGTAATATCACATGTAAAAAGAGAATGGAGAACGCTGAAAATGACAGGAATGTGCAAGAAGCATTATGATCAACACAAACAGTTTTTTCAACAAGTGAGTAAATGGTTTACTGACCTGATCATGCCTGGATTTGCCCGATGAGTGGTTCAATTTGGAAAATAATCCACTATCCCAAAAAGGTAGAACAGGGAAGCCGAGGCAATTGTGTACGTGTGAGTGTGTGTATTTGTGTGAGGCTTGTACTCTCCTCTGGGACCCTGTCCTTCTCTCCTACACTCTCTCGCTCGCTCTCCAGCTCCCTTCTCCCTCCCCCTCTCCCTTCGCCTAGTGACAACAGAGCAGCGCATACATCCCCTCCCCCAACCGCACCACCCCTCCCCCTCCTTCTCCCTCTCTTTTGTTAAAACTATTTCAGCAGGAAGGGAGAGAGAGGGAAAAAAGTGACCAATCATGCAGTGTCAGAGAGGAGCCTGTTTCCCCCTGTGTGTGTGTGTGTGTGTGTGTGTGTGTGTGCATGAATTTCTGTATGTGTGCATTTGTGCATGATCTTATTTGCATGCATGTTTGTTTTGTATTGTAGACCTTCAGTGTGATGAATGAGCATGTGGGAGACACGCTACTGAAATAGTGAAAAATTGTGAATTTTCTCCTTCACTGATCATATGAGAAGTTCAGTTATTGTCAATGACTTCTATTGATCTGGTACATTGATCTTAGTGATGCTGGGAGGGTGACCGTGTCAATATTACCCCCCACCCACACCACCCACACACTAGCCTTCACACATGCACAGGCAGCAGCAAATGACCTCCACATTGGCCTCAAACCTTTGACTAAGAAATGGGTTAATTTCTTCACATGTAATTTATCAACATCTGAAATTCTAATATATACTCACGCTGCTTTTATATCATTTTCCTTCCAGGGGCTCACTGAACTCTTTCCCTCCAATCCCCGTTTTGCTCTAACCCCACTCCCTCGCACACAGAAACACAGCTGTGGTTCTGCATTTAGAGTTATGGAGTAGGCGGGACAAGCTGGTCCACTCCTCATGTTACTCTGCTGTAAACACTCAAGGCCCTGCAGGACACACTCCTTCTGCTTTAGCCTCTCTTAACACCAGGCCCTGTCCGAAACACACACACACACACACACACGTTTGAAATGTGTAAGCCATGTGTCAGAAGGTGGTTGTTCACTGGACAAACTGTAATTTCATCTTCTTTGACTATAATCACATGACTATGATTACAAAGCAGAGTTTTGACAATATTTTAAATATTTGTTTTATGATCACCATCATTGTACATACATCAGTGTTATAATACCGGGTCAGTGCAGCCAGTAATAGCAGTGGAGGTGGAGGCTACAAGACCTTTCATCGAGTGACTCAGAGGAGTAATGGCTAGTGCAGCGCTCAGCTCTTTCCCCCTTACCTGCTTTGCTGACAGACACTGAAAAAAAAAGCCATGCTGTTATTTTGCAGGCTAGGAAACAATGCATCTAGACAATCCCAAATGTGCTGCGGGGGCTGTTCTTTTCATCATAGATAAGGTAGGTTGTTTGATACATTCTCACTGCCGAGTCCTAGCCCCCCAGATGTGGTCTCCAGTTACGTTAGGAACGCCTCCCCATGTAGCCATGCGGCCCTGAACGGGTCACTGGGACAAGCGGAGGGACAGAGGGCAGCGTGTGTGCTAATGACAAACAGAAAGGTGTGGCAGGTTGGAGAATATGTTTATTGGCAGAGACAGAGGAGAGAAATTCCCATTACAACTCAACTACTGGAACGGATATAATACAAATGCACACAAGAAGATGGATTTCCATACACACATAATGGCTATGCTGGAAATTGGACATGGTAACTCTAACCCTGGGTCCCTTCGGCCCTGTGGGTGGGATAGGTCACATGATAGCACCCCAGAGAAGCTCAGCTGTTTGCCACTCTAATTCTGTCTCAAGCAGCTGAGCACTGGCCCGCTGCTCCACTGAACTGTCCCAGTAATGATAATAATAATGTGTGTGTGTGTGTGTGTGTGTGTGTGTGTGTGTTTGTGTGTGTGTGTGTGTCTGTGTGTATAGAAAGAGGGAATGGGGTTAATGATGAAAATAAGTCCACACCTTCAAAATCTGGAGCGCTGTTGTATAGCTACAAAGTAAAATGATTGGAATACAACTTTCATCCCGACATTGCCAAGCATGTTCACATCTACAGAAAATGACGTGAGAGATGAATTATGACACAGAGAGGGTAACATAGAGAGAGAGCAAGAGAGAGAGAGAGAGAGAGAGAGAGAGAGAGAGAGAGAGAGAGAGGGCATAACAGGAACAGGAAATCTTTGGAAAAAGTACAGGAAGTGTTTGTATTGTCTCCCACCGGCAATGTCAGAGTCAGCAGAGCACTGGGCTTGTATTTAATGGATAAGCCTGGTGATATTTTAGATTCTTCTTACTATAAACAAACCGCACAAAAAGACCAAAGCCAGCATTTACGTGATCCTACTAACAAGTATTGCCTGTGTAGCCAAAGCCTCATACATCTTATTTGTCTGTCCCACAGCCTCCATTGTTGTCCTAAAACTATTAAAACACTGAGACATCACTGAGTTACACTGTTGCTTTGGGTGACACGTTCCTTTGTTATGATGAACACTGTAGCTTATTTTGAGTCAATCTCACTGTAAAACTACCACAAAGATTATCAAATGTGTATGAATACGCAGTTGAAAATAGTCTCCAACAAATGCACAATTTACTCCGGTTTGCGTAACATTTGCTTTAGCACACAGTGTTAGGAAATGACTGATATTCTTTTGAAAAATTAAACAATATATTATCTGATTTTATAGGATTAAGTGCATTAACAAATGCATTTTTGGTTTTGGTCTTTTCATGCGATTTGTTCAAATGAATTTACACTGAAACTGGAGTCACATGCTACGATACATGCACAGAGGAGCATACAATCATTATTCTATTAATATTACTAAAGCTGATGTTTTAGTTTATTTTTTAATTCTTATGGCCGTCTTGTCTGGTAAACATGATATTGACACACACAGACCAGCACACACATATGTACACACTAACTCATCTTGTGTCCTTTCGTCTCATCAAGTGCAGAATGTCATTTAGCCAGCCTCACATTCAAATTAGTGCATGTCTCTTCAAGGTTAAATGGCATTACTGTCCCAGTGAATTCCAATTACAGCCCTACGGCATTAACTTGAGGCATTAATGATTGTGTGATTTTCTCAATAACGTACGAAGAATAACACAGTCAGTCTGACAACAAATGTGGACAAAAGAGGATTTTGTTATATGTAATTAAGAAAAACGGTTGAAACACCACTCAAGGAAGCTTACTGCATGCATGCACACACACACACACACGCGCGCTCTTCCTCTCACAAGCACATACACATACATCTGCACACCACAGACACATGCAGCGCAGTGCTCTCTGTTAGAGTGGCTTATTGTTCTCTGGTATAGAGAACACAATATCCAAGTCTAGTAATAGAGGTTAGATTAATTGCTGACAAATCTGTATTCAGCAGTTCCCTTTCTCTCTGCTTGACAGATTTATGACAGAGATTGATGGAGGGGAGGGACGAGCCTAGAGCCGTCTCTGTTCAGTGAGAAAAGAGGACAACAGCTTGGCGAGTTGAAAAGAAACAGAGAGAAGTGGGGGGAAAAAAGATATACAGGATTGTTTTGGTTGGAACTTACACGTGACCAACAATTTTGTCTTTGAGCTTGTAGGAGGCATACTGTTATATTTCATGCAGTTTTCACCAAAAATATTGTTCATCATTGTATTCCTCCAACACTTGACACACAATTATTGTTTTTGAAATATGAAAAATAATAGCAGGAACGTTAGAGTTAAATTATAAAGGCATGCTTTCAAATCACTCTATAAGGAGCACCAATAGGAATAGGACACAGCAGACATTTTAACTCAGTCAGTAGGAAAAGCACAGGTGTTAGTATTAACATTAACAATGGCTCTGTTATGTTACATATGTGTCCCAGTAAGCCATGACAGTGAGCCGGCATGCACAATTACCAGAACCCTGGAAACTGAAGCAGCTAAATGGAATTCAGCCATCATTAATCTTCTTATTTTCACTTCTTCTTGTCAAACTATCTCATGTGAAGAAAGACCCTACTAGCTAAACCTGGGAAGCATAATTCAGTTATCTGTTGTGTAATAAAATGTAACAAAATTGGGCTAATGCTGAACAAATAGAAACCATATGAAGAATCAAGATGTGTACCTTTCTTATAGTTATATAATAAAAATTTTACTTTATTTTTTGTTTTCTTTTCAAGAGTATGATTAAAAGATCAATACAACTCTTACATTTGCGGGAGCCAGCAGTAAGTTAGCATAGCTCAGCTTAGCTTAGCTTGGCTCATCCAAGGTTGGTTAAAATCAAGGGCCACTGGACTTGGTTGAGGTTGCACACAGGTGAAAAACAATAAATAATGGCCACTCTTCCATCCAGGTGTGTCACTTTCAGGTATTATGCCTGAGGTTAATTTTCATGGTTTAGTGGCAAACCTACATGAAACAGCGCTTATCATTAATTTCTTTTTCTACACCTGTGTTTTTCCTACTCTGATGTGTAAACATCCTACTTCACAGACTAACTCAAGCTTGAATCAGTTCAGATGCTCCACAGTAAATGGATGAACAAATCATTAATATCCCCAAAGACTTATCATTTTGCATTTTTGTGGCAACCCTGCAGAAACATACATTCCAGTCTGCCTTTCCTGTTCCAGTTGGATCTTCAGATTTCCTTCACAAACACCACATGACCTTCACATGAGCACAAAGGGTTTCTTTGAATGCATAAATCTTAAAACAGAGACATTAGGGCCAGGGTCACCTCCTCATCTTATTGGCCTGGACCGACACTGGAGCCACATGATGATAATAAATGCAATACACAAAAGCTCCCCCATCATGTGCGAGGCCACATTACCAGATGAACTTCACACCTTTTATGCTCGCTTTGATATCCTCAACAAAGAGCTACTCCACCTCCAGAGGACCGGCCACTGTCAGTATCTACTGCAGATATGAGAAGAGTCCTACAGAGAATTATACATCAGCTGGGCATTCCTGGCTGTGTACTAAAAACCTGTGCCAATCAGCTAGTTGATGTTGTTACTGACAGTTACAACATACCACTGTTTCAGGAGAGGGTTCCTACCTGCTTCAAGACAGCCACCATTGTTCCTGTACCTAAAAAGTCTGTCTGTGTGTCTAGTCTGAATGACTACCGCCCTGTGGCACTCACCCCCATTCTGATGAAGAGCTTTGAGAAACTGGTTCTACAGCACATGAAGAATGACATCCCAGGCAGCCTGGACCCTCACCAGTTTGCTCTCAGAACCAACAGATCCACAGAGAAAAACACCTATATCAGAATGCTGTTTGTAGATTTCAACACAATCTCCCCCATGAAACTGATCAGCAGACAGGTTTAAATTCAAGACTCTGCAACTGGATATTGGACTTCCTCACAAACAGACCGCAGTCAATTCGGACTCACCTCCTCCACTCTAGTGCTCAACACCAGAGCCACCATGCTGGTGAAGAAAGTTCAGAAGCGACTGTATTTCTTGAGGAAGCTTAAGAAGGCCAAATTCCTGTACGAAGTTCTTGTCAACTTTTGTCAACAGAGGAGCAACAGAAAGCATCCTGACTGGAAACATCACAAACTGGCATGGGATGTGCTCTGCAGTGGGTGATTAATACTGTTCAGAAGATCATTGGTACCCATCTCCTGAGCATCAGTGACATCGGTGAGGTGAGGTGCCTACGCAGAGCCCAAAGGATACTAAAGGACAGTAGAACTGCAGAGCATCTTTATCCCCCAAGCAGCTTTATCCCTCAAGCTATCAGACTTAAACTCAAATTCATCCTCAGCACTACTCCCTTGATTATAGTTTATTTCTGTTTTTACCATTTTTATAATTGCTTGTACATGTATATTGACTGCTATGTAGCAGAATGGTGTTACAAATTCAATTTCACTATGTAACCTGTTATACTGTGACAAATGTACCTACTTACCTACCTAAAAGTGGGTAAAATACAATTTTGAGCTGACATTCAAACACAACGTGGTTCGAACACACTTTAATGGATCTACCTCATGTTGCTGATCCCTGATTCAGTTCATGAGGTGAAAACCATCTAACATGTCCTGTCCACCTCCCTCCTTCCACCTGATGTCACAGCCTACAGCTCGTCCGATTGGTTGAGGCCACAACCCGCCAGCTGTTTGTAATCATGACAACTTGGAGGGAGTCAGGATCACATGACACCCTCAAGGCACACATGCAGGCATAGATATCTCCATACAGAGTGAAGTGCATCTTTAACCCCATACCCTATTCCCACAGGCTACTCCTTTTCAGTCAGGATCACCTCCAGATGTGCACACCATGTTCTCACCTCAGGATAAAAAAAAGGGGGAGCGGTGGGGCACAAGGAGGGAGGGGACAGTCCAATGAAAATGGAAAGAGGTGGGGAGAGAGGTATATGAGGGAGGAAGGAGGTTCTCATGTGGGTACTTCTCAGGATGGATGGTGCCATGTGTTTATCTCTCTTAACATGATGTGACAGTCTTGAATTTAAATACATTTTAGGAGGGAATCTACTAACTTACTAAAGAAGTATGACTCTGCTGCCTCCTAGTGGGACAAGCTATTAAATACATCAAATTACATGACAGTTCAAAGAAGTAAAGTAGATCGTGGAGTATCTCCTAGTTCTGTCCAATAAAACCATTCAGCCAGACACCATGGTGCAATAACTAAAACAACAGTTCATTTCAACTGTAATTTATTTTTCATTTTTCCATAATCAAAAATTAAACTACATATACATATAAAACATGTAGAATTATTTTGCTCAAGACTAATCATTCAGTGGTTGAAGAGACAAGGCATCACTCTTTCTATTGCTCCAAGACGTTAGGATCATGGTTACTGCCATACAGGCGCTCTTCTCCCTGAAAGCCTCATGCTTTCTAGTATCTCTCTCTCTCTTTCATCCATCTGCCCATTTGTCAAACTGACCTTGTCCTTGAAACAGACACAGGTTTGTCTTATATTCATTAGAAGGACATAGCCTCACACAGTGCACAGTTTTCTCTTTCATCTACACATAAAAATGGCATGAGAGAATTTGAAACATGTTGTATTTTTATGGAATATAGAAATTATACAATCGTTCAGAATGGGACACTAATGATTCTCAGTTTGTTTGACAGCCTGTGTCTCATGACTAGCATTTAAAAGGTCTGTTAAAAGATTAAAGGTGGTCAAACATCAAAAATGACAGCACAACAGGAAGTGGTTATGTACTCTATGACAGGCACACACATACAGCACATATATTTATACTCACATCCATTAAAATGTATGGCCTCTCTTGGTCACCTGTATATACAGTAAACCTACAGCATACCAAAGGCATTTGACTATATGTTTACCATACATTCACGTATACATTAATGAGTTGAAAAATCAAGTTTAAGACACATGATGCTCATTAAAACAGTCAAAATCTACAGTCATTGAACTCTGGATGTTAAAAAGTGTTTTCACAATTTGGGTTACAGTACATATTTACACAATGAATAATATTTAGTCATGCCATTCATTAGTTTAGTTATGGGTCCTCAGACTCACAGAGACTATTCACATTCAAAAGTCTGACAGAATTGAAGCAGAAATACATGACAGCAAACACAATGTACACAACTTTCACACAAATCTTCGAGGAGGTATTACTGAATGTGATGTTACAGTGATAGATTACTGCACTTGTGCACTTTGCTTTAAAGTCACTTCAATAGAAATGATGAGGACTATGGAGGAAGTTGCCTTGAAATTGGTTATAAAACAGTTCATGAATTGATATTTAACTGGACAGTAAAGCCAGGATTTCTGAGCATGACTACATCAATTCACCATCATTCTTTTTTTTTTTTAAATAATAGACATTCTCTGATATTTAGATCCATCTTTGAATAACATTCTTACCCTAATCTTAATCTCTTCAATTCATTCAGTGATTTTGCTGCTACAATCTGGCATGACCAGTAGCTTCAGGTAGCTAATGGAAGCTAACTTAAGATCTGACTGACTTTACTCGGATATTAATGATGTCCTTTCTACTTGTGCTACTGGTACATGATGTTTTAATATTTATTATTATAATGTCATTTTCACCTGTGGCCCCAGTGGCTTACACTTACACTTACACTTACGTAGTCTTTTTCTTATTGTAGCATTCATAATTACTAGAATCCAACCTGGGCCTTTTGTTGCACGTCACCCCTTCTCTCACTCCCCTTATTTCATGTCACCCTGCTATTAAAGATTGCAAAATATGTAATAATAAATACTAGTCTTTTATTAATCCTTCTTTTTATTGTCCAATTAAATATAAATCAATAACGGATTTATGAGCACTTTCAATGCACTCTAGGTCTCCCATTGAGGACAACAGGGTGTAGGAATCACGGTTTATTAGACAAACTCCTGCTGTCTCCCATCAGTGCTTGCTTTGAAGGTATTTCATTGAATTCATTTATATTTAAGTATTCATATGCTGCATTCTTTAGCCTTTCTCTGAGCTCATCTTGCTTATTACAGTATATACAGAAAGCAAAGAGAACACATTGGAATTTTATATCTAAAAATATTGTTGTAATAAATAATAAATAAGTAGTAAATTATTGTAAAACCATTTGATTGCTTAATAGATCTCTTGAAAATAAAATATATCACAAATTCATTATCTACAGAAAGTGCAACTATAAATAAAGTATTATTGAAAGTCATTATTTCACACCATAGTCTCTCTGCTCCCTTTAGCTCTTCAATCTTTGAGTCCTTTCCTAAATTAGACAACTGCCAGATGTAACTCTGGTAATAAAAAATGTGGGGGAGCACATTACAGCAGAACCTTGTTTATGCAAATTGACCTGTCTCAAGACTCCACATAATGAATGAATGTGTGACAAAGGTCAAAATATATTATTTTCTATTTATGTGTAATTGTTGAACTGTTTTTTGCACATGTAATGAAAGTGTTTTTGGCTTCCTGAACCTATTCCACTCAGGATTGGATAAAAAAGATTTCACTGGCTCAAAAGGACCCTGATAAATAAAGAGTTGCGGTAAAGGTCAATTTGGGTTAGATTTTAGGTAAATTATTGCTTAACAGAAAATGCTGTAGCAAAAATAACAAAGTAGTTATTGTTTTCCTGATACTCAAAGGGACAAACACTCTCCTTCTCTCTCTCACACACAAACACACACACAATTTTTCTGCTCTGGTTTCTCCTAACCTGACATCAGCCAAAGTGCTTGCAGGAGCATTCATGAGCTCGTCTGAGGTAAAGAAATAAGACACTGTACTAACACATGACAAAGATTCTGTAGAACAACCTCCATCCTACACAATCATTAGTTCAAAGACATACGTCCATAAAGGGAAAAAGATTACGCCTCAAAAAACATGTTACTGATGCCACTGCTTCAACTGAAGTGGGTCTTCTAACATTTAGTTTTCAGTGTACATCATTATCATCATCACACAAAACCGATACAAAGTGTTATGCCCCAAAAGAGGATTTGTCTATGTATTACTGAACCTGCAATGCATTTCTAAAATCTACGAAATAATTGACCATATCATCACTATCAGAAAAAACATATTCATGGCACATAAATAAAAAGTAGATTTAAGGAATGATGACAGATAAACTTACTTGGATAATTAAAAAGAACCTGGTTTGTTTTTAAAGGAGCATTTACACTCTATCGTATAGCCCAACTAAGTGTGCACTGGAGGTGGGAAACCTGAAAGGTTGAAAAAAGGGAGTAAATAGGTTGTTGTTATGTGTGCTTTTCTATCTTTGTGAGGACTAACTGTCTTTAAAGCAGCTACACTTTACATTTTTACTAGTATTTGAAAGAGGCTGCTTGTAGTCTACAACAGTTCTACGGAGCTTTGTTTTTTATTTTATTTTTTGTAGTGTATTTATTTTCCAGACCACAACTTTAATGTAATTTATTAATTGGTTCACTCTCACCACTCTCAGCAGCATTGAGTATTTAGCTACTAAAGAGCAAGATATTTCACACAGTGGTTTGTGGAGACCAAAACAGAAATAAAAGTAGAGTGAATATTAGACTTACATTCATCAGGTGGCCCGAAACACAAGATGGTGCTCCATATCTGTTGGATTATGTAAATAAGCACAATGTCAACTTCAAAAGTGATAATGTGTACATGTTGGGCTTGGAGCTTGTTTCTGGTTCCCCCAAGTGGCCAAAATTGTATTAATTATTACTGATTTGTTAGGAAGTAAATTTAAACTAATGCAGCTGCTTGTCTCTCCTCATTAACTTAAATGGGGTGGACAAAATAATTGAAACACCTGTATAGTAAAGTATAACAAACTACACTTCAACAGCGCCACAAACTACAGCCTCCAAAATACAACAGGGCTGTTGCATTAGACTGCTTTAGTTTTAGCTAGATGTACCTAATAAACTGGCAACTGGGCATATTCCTGGTTTATATTTATGTCAGGATTCAGTTTACAGGTATGGCTAGTTTTAGAATGAAATAGAAAATCCACCCTACAAGGGAATTTACAATGGGCTACTTCCAGTCGGCGGTTTGTTAATTTTTAACAGGGGGGGTGGCGCAATGGGAGCACCCCATGACTACACGTTGCTACATGTCACTTAGATCATGAAGGTGACACTACTCTATTTATAGTATATAGTTTAGAGAATATTAATAATTTAAGACAGAACTGACAGAAGGAGCAATTACAAATCTGACTTGTACTTCAGCACCATGGACAACGTTATGGATTTATCAAAACGCATCAAAAAGCGCAGTTAGACTACTGATATTCCACAGCCATGGTCGGGGCCATAGCTTCTAACTTGCACAGATGATCAATGAGTCAGGCATACTAGACTACATATTAAACTAAACAACCAATCATCCACTGCACTATCTCTGTTCCTAAGGTAGAAGGGGGACGACAGGTTAACGAGGAGGCTTCATTTTGGTAATTTTGCTAACACGGGGGATGGCATGCCCTTCAAATTGTCTAGTGGCTATTTCATTGGCAGTAAAGCTGATCTTTATAGACAAGCAACAGCGTTGTCCCGATGAGCTAAAAACCAAACATCCAGTAATTTTTGGAGATATACCAGTGACATTATATTACTGACTGACTAACTGGCATGTTGTTAGGCTGCGCGAAATGTTACATCCAAATGAGTTTCAAATAAATTCGTGGATTTCAGCTGTAAATCAGTGAAATCACTATGCCTGCCATTAGCTGTCACAGTGTCCTCGCAGTTGATCCATTATTTACTGTTTATGTGGATAAAGCGGCTCCAGGATCTGTCTCTACATTACACTATCAGAGCCTGTCTAAATGATCTACACAAATTAATTAAAAGGGAGCTTTTCAATACTAAATTTGATAACAGGTGAATGCTGCTACAGGAGAGAGTGCTTTAAAGTTTCATCTTTTATATCATCCTTCAAGCTCACAACTAAGATGGGAAGCCACAGACCAGAATCACTAAGGGCCTTCTTCCCTGTCTGGTTTAGTAGAAACCCAAAAGTAGAAGATGATGGTGTTTGAGATCAGGGTTTTACACTGGTTAACCGGTTAAGATGGTTAAGGTTGCTGAGGTTGGGGCTAGTTTTTAATCAAGGGGTCAGACTAAGTATTAGGTTAGCACTAGCTTAAATTTGTAGAGCTTTGGTTCAGGGAAATAAGAATATATAATATTAATATATTTAAATATTAATTAATTTAAATACACTTTCAGTCCTCACAAAGATAGAATTGCATGTGTATGTCTTTCTTTTTGTCTGCATGTTTATTGACAGTATTATGGGTTGCGGGGAGCTGGTAGAAATCATCAAGACTTGTTTCTCTATGCACTGAAGAGGCTGACGGCAGTCGCAGTTTCCTGTGGTCCAGAACTACAGTCAAGTGACACAGCTGAGTCTGTCAGGAATGTGGACGTCCATTACTCATCTATGAACGTGATCCCTTCAATCCTGCGGAGTAGAACATACAAAGTCGGAATTAACACAGCACAGAGCACAGTTTGGCTGCCCTCATCTTTGCAATTACCAGTTGGCACAACAATTGGAAAGCACAAAAGAAGTGAGAGACCACACTGTGTAGCAGGAACATTTCCAGATGACAGGGGTGAGGAAAAAGAGGGTATGGCCTTGCCTTCTTAGCGGCCATAGGACGAGTGTCCTTTTGATTGGAGTTGAGGGATTTCCACACGGTAGTTTTAGACATTTCATCAGATATATTAATATCAGAGGGATCACACCTATGGATCAGGGAGAGGAAAAGGAGGGTAAGCACAGAAAGCAGACAATGTTGGGAGTGAGTTGGGGCTTTTAGGGTCTCAGTGTGTTAGTCTTTATGGGGTGGACTTAAAAACAGACAACCACATCCAAACAAGACAAGGATACAAATAGATAGACAGGAAGGTGAAACAATTCTCGCATAATCTTACCACTCCAATCATCTGATGTCCATTCTGTCCATTTGAGTGTGTGTGGGTGTGCATGAATGTGTGTTCTTACCTGGGGTCATGTGCTTTTGGGGTCTGAATGGGCTTGCTGCTCTCCATGGGAATCTGAACAGTATCTTCCTTTTTTGCATTGAGCATAACCAGTGATTCCTAAAAAATGCACCCACCGCCACAAACATACACAGTCAAAACATGCATTTTTATTTATTTATTTTCATGTATTTTATTAAGATTTCCATTAAGACTACCTCTTGTATCTCTTTGGAGGCATCATCAAGGTTTTTTTTCTTCCATTCAGGCATTAAGTCATCCAGGTAACTTAGCTCTCGGTCAGAGAAACACCAGTCCAGCAGCTTGCGGATGAAAACCAGCGCTAGCACCTGCAAGTACAGGAGAAAAAAGATGCCTGTCATTTAAATAGATGGCATGGAGAGACTGGAGAAAGGAGAGGGGATGTTGGTGGTGGTCAACTCACCATCATTGGGAAGATGATAGCAGCGGGGGATGTCTTGATTATCCAGAGCAGCACCAGACACGTGAGCTGGGTAACAGTGAACAGGTGCACCTTCCTCAAGGGCACGTGGCGCAGGTAGATGAAATCTGGCTGGTGCTTTGCTGGCATGCCAAACAACTTCAGACGGTCAAAGAACTGAGAAATGATGGTGATGAAAACAGGTGGTAGAGAAGTCAGAGACAGAGGGTAACAGGAGAATTGAATTAAGGAGAGAAGAGCAGAGACACAGATGTGAATATGGCAAGAGAAAAAAGTGATTATGAATGACAAATTTAGTTAAATTGGTTTGACAATTAACTGTCAGGCCGCACTGAATTGCAACAGCATTAATTAGATGAGGAAAGGGCATAACAGCTGAGGGAACAACTTGAAACATTTTGTATTTGAATTACCCCCACACTATAATTAGGGGGTGCCAAAGTGACAAATGTTCAAAGTGTACACATAGTGGCTTTACTATAAATCATCTTTGCCATATAGAATAACATTGCTGTATTTATATATGTCAGATTGCACATTACCTGGATGCCTTTTAATGAAGAGACTCCCATGTACAGGAAAACACCATACAACACTGGCATTGGAATGAACTATGAAAAAACAACAACATACATCCATGAGCTTTGGTAATACTTTGACTATTTCACGCTCTCACTTCTCTGACTAAATATCCAAGCCAGAGGGGGGCAGCATTGCTCGGCTTGTCTGACTAACCTGCAGGGCTCCAGTCATGAATACAGAGCAGCCCATGAGCAGGAAGATGAGCAGGCCAGTTAACCTCTGTTCTCTGATGCCCAGGAAGCGAGGCTGCTCTCCCGGAGCCGAGCTCTCTGACTCCAGCTTTAGGCTGTTGACGTGAGAGATAGACAGGACAGTGGCTGCTACGAACCAGGGCAAGCCCATGATGGAGCACACGCCCAGCATCATCCCAACCATCAGCAGGTCCAGGTGGTACCCACAGCCCTTCTGCATAACAGAGAGAAGGAAACTGAATAACTGAATACAAACAAATAACTTAGCGACAGTCTGCAGCTGGAAGCAACGGTGCAGAGATAGGGCAGCTGTATGATCAGAATTTTCAGATTTTTTCTTACTAGCAGTTTGTGCTCTTTGCGGTTGATGATCACAGCAGTTATCTGTTGGTCCATAAAGATAAGGATGGTACAGAGAAGAGCTGGAATAGATGCAGCCAGGACTGTCCACCATGGGTTGCGTCCTATTGGATTGATCAACCAACCTCGGTCGTCTCTGGTAGGCTAGAGGAGCCAATTTAAGAGAAGTGAGGCCATGATTCAACCATAACAATGCAGTTTAACATCAAGGTTCACATTATTATTGTTATTATTTCCTCTATACCTGGAATTTGCTGGGCACCTTCAACTTCTGGGAGGGCACTCCAACAACATAGTCAAGCAGAACCATGACGGCAATGGTGAGGAACACTGCAAAGTCACTGATCATGGACCGCACCTAGGCACGAGCAATAACAACACTCAGAGATCAGTGGTTACTAATGTGGTAACCCCTAGCCAAGTGAGCAGTCATATTGGTGAATTACCTTGGTGGGGAAATAACGACTAGTCTTGAGTTGTTTGAGGAAGGCAGACAGGAAGAAGGTCGAGAAGAACAAGATGGTAGACCAGAAGAGAACATCTGGGGTATAGGGGCCATGGTGGCCACATGCTGTCCCAACAAAGTGGCCCTGCATACTGATACACTCCTGTAGAGATTCAAAGAGGTCATATTAGAAAAATTTATTTTCTATGCAGAACAGGTGATCCGGCTTCACAGTGCATGATGGATTCGCCGCAGCGAGTTTTCAGAGCATTCACCATATCTGTATTTGCATTAAAACGACTCGACCTGAATTTTATGCAAATGAGTCTGCCCAGCATAACTACACCAGGCTTAAAAGATCAGATCAAAGTGTCAAACTAGGCAGTGCTGAATATGAACCAAGATTGTGCTACTGCATTTACTTTTCAGAAACATATTTTAGTGTACTGTTTAACTATAATACAAGAAGGTGTGTGACCAGGCCGACATTCACAACCAAGCACCGCCCAGTTAATTAACCCTAACCCCATCAGCTGGAGAGTTTAGTTTTCTGGGGCGTCCAGATGCTTCCTCCCCAGAGGCGGCCTGTCTGCACCTTAAGATTTTATCAAAATTATCTGTCAGACAAGAAGAGTCTACAAAGCGTACTAAGAAGAAACAAGATAAACCTTTGGTGTGCTCGGTTACACACACAGCAGTGAAAGGTAGATCAATTGAATGTCCTTCTCAGTGTTTGCAAAGGTCCTTAAAAGAGGTTAGCTGCTCAGGGGAAGGTGAAGAAGGTGAACTGAATGGTAAGTAAACACAATGGACTGAATGCAGTGTGTGCTATCATGTGAAAGTTACGCTAACATTAGGTGTGTGTGTGTGTGTGTGCACACGTATGTGTGTGTGTGTGTGTGTTTCCGCATAGTTACATTACCTTGACAGTAAGGTTGGACCAGGGTACAGCAGCGGGTGTGATGTTTCTCTCACTCCAGAGTTCTAAGGTTTTATTACTGGGATTATCTGGCTCTGCACACCTACAGCTAGAGAGAGAGAGAGAGAAAGAGCACAAAGCACACAGAAGAAAAATCAGTGGCTGACAAAAAGGATGGGCTCACATTTTTTATCAGTCAAATTAGGCCAGACATAAAGGAAACAGCATGGAAGGATGGGATCTGAAGGCTTTTAGAGGAGAGCAGAAACAAAGAAACAGCAAAGCCACATAGTGAGGAGAAGACGGCTATGTATTCTTAGAGAAGAACAAAGCACAGAAAGAAAACAATGAACAAAGAAAAACCTGAACATGCAGGTGAAAGACAGAGGAAACCAAGGGGAGTGAACATTTTGTTACTCACTACACCAGTGTAAGTTGGTCCAGATCGCTGTGTGCATTGAAGGGGTAGACTTCTCCCAGGTGGAAGAGCTTCTCCAAGGCCTCGTAGATGAAGATGAGGCAGATGAGGGCAGCAAAGGCCTCCTCTGTGAACCGAGTGATGTAGCACACCAGAGAGCTGGCGTCTGTGGCAACCAAAATCAAACACAGCAGGGCCGTCCACAGGCCGATGCAAGTCCTTAGTGACAGATAGGAAAGGTCGTAGTCCCTGATATGAAAGAACAAGAGAAAAGATTAGGGGTAGAAAAGGAATACATAATCGGGTGGTGATGATATAAATGTCACAGAGAGGTTGTTCTAATACATACTTGCAGAACTTGAAGAGGATTTTCTCAAAAACCAGCACAGGACCAGTGCTACCCAGAATGGTGAGAGGCTGACCAGCAAACACAGAGTAGGCTACTCCAGTCATAGACGCACCAAGCAAGGACTCTATGGCACTCTACAACACATGGAGGAAACGTGTGCAGTACAGTATTACATTAACATGTACAAAGTCTATACTGCATCCATAATGTTGTATGTGATTACAGTGTGTGAATGTGTGTCTGAGTTTGTTTGTGCTCTTACGATGCGCCCCTCTGTCGCCTCCCCCAGTAGTCCTCCAAAGGTGATGACAGGAGACATGCAGGCACAATAAAGGAAGAGGAAGGAGGCCACACACTGGAGGCTCAGGCCGTCCTTAAAGTCACTCAGATAGAATGGCGCTTTCCTCTTGATGTCCAGTATCAGACCGCCGAACAACCTGATCACAGCGCACAACAAAAGAAGAGAGGTGCAGAGGTATAGAGAACAATTTGACATGTTAATGTAATGATATTGCCAATTTCTAGTTGACAAGATTTTAAGGGTGTGTAAATAATAAATAATAAATAATAAAACTTGTCTGTAGGGGTTGTCACTTGCTTGTCCCACCTCAGCTTGTCATATATCCACAGTTAGATTTTGTGGCGCCAGCAAATGACAGATGTGGTCAGTGTTAAACTCAGCCCCAGGCTTCCACCCGTCCCTTCAGAAACATAACTGGTGCTTCCTCCATGTTACAGGCTGCTTTTATCCTTTTATACAGCATATCCTGATAGTCAACATTTCTGGGGTATAACATCTTGCTTTTTGAAATCTGAACTTGATGTTTGTGTATTATAGCACACATTACTGAAGCAACAAGCCTGTGCAATAAACCTGCAAATGACAACCTACCTTCCAGTTCTCTGCAGCTCTGGCCCATGGTGCTCAGCATGCAGCTCTTCTTCTACCTGGCAGGCTGTGCCATTAGGGACTCCGGGCATCTTCCTCTTCTCCTGCAGATACCCAGTGACAGTCCAGGAACAGACAAAAAAAAAAAAAGGTTTTAGCTGAAATTCAAACCTTAAAGTAAATCTCTATGTCATCAAAGTTGTGTACCTGAGAGGGGACACTCTTTGGGGGCTCGATGCGGATGGAGGGGTCCCACTCTCCTGGTGGCAGGACTGTCACTTGGTCCAGGAACTCATCTATCCCAGCCAGCAGGTCACTTCTGTCCTTTGCCTTGTAGGCTACATCGTGAAAGATCTGATCAAGAGAGACGTGAGGGACAGAGTAAACTTAACCGCCTGCCTTTCCAAGGAAGATGTTGAGATTTGATTTGCTCTGTGAATGTGTCTGAAGCTAGATTTTAACTGACGGAGCTTTTCTTACTTCATCTGTCATAATGGTTGCCATGGAGCGTCCAATTTCGTGGTATTGCTGGGCCTTTCCATCTGGCCCCAGGAGAATGAAGAGGAACCTGACATTTGTAAGAAGATGATTCAAAGTAAATAATTTGTGGATTATTGAATCAACATAATTAGATTTTACTGAACCATTGTTTATGTATCTGCAAAGAGAAGTGGCCATCTACCTCGTTGGTATGGGGACCTCAGTGAGTCCAGTGAGCAGCACAGCAGGGGAGAGGCGGACAAAGGCCACAATGGGCCGCTCCAGGAAGTCCAGTTCTCCCACTAGTACATTGGAGGCCTCTGCACCCTCTGGGATCTTCTTCATGAAGTGCAGGTCCACCTGGTGAGACAAGGTTGAAGTTAATATCAGCTAAGAATACAATACAATTACTAAATACCTACTGTGGTAGTCATTTTTTTAACAGGCACATCCCTGCATCCTGTAACTTGCACTAACTAAGAGTTGTACATAAAGCTTTACCACCACAATTCCAGAGAACCTAGCTATCATTTCAGTGCTAGTGATGTTAAACTGTACAGTAATAAAGAAGAAGAAGCTTTTAACTGTGTCCTATGTGGCTGTGGTAAACAGTCTTTCAGAGATGCATTTCCAACACATGTAGTTCTCTTGTTGTTTCCTAGGGGGCACTATGTGACCTAATTGATGATGATGTTGACAGCACACCAAACATTGATTACAGACCTTGGCAGAGAGCTACATACATAGCCCAACCAAAAAAGATCTTATACTGCTGTTGTCAGATGTGTCACACTCATTACACCTACGCTTTTTTATACTCATATTCAATTTTGGTCTTCACAGCATCCATCCATATACAGGAACAGTGTGCACTGAGAAACTGCACACATTCCTGAGAAGAAGAAAAAATACACTTGTTCCAATGCATGTTTGTCTACCTTGCTGAGGTCCACTTGGTTGCTGTCCTGTCCGCCACCGTTCTTAGCTGGTTCTGTAGCAGGTGGAGGCTGGGGAGATGTGGCATGCCCTGCTGGACAGTAAAGCAGTGGGTGTTTGAGAGAGAGAGACAGAGAGAGAGACAGAGAGAGAGAATCAGAGTCCATATATATATTTATTGGCCTGCCAAGTGCAAAGTGAAAAACACAACCAATGAAGGCAGTAATGCTTAGCTGCCAATATATTGCCACAGTTAAATGTTTTGGACAGTTTGTCCCTGAAAGCATTTAGTGTCACTGTTTAGAGATTGTGCTTTATTTTATGGGTCTGTCTGTTGCTTAGTTTTGCTGCTTTTAGTCTCTTCCTGCTTACTTTTATTCCGTAGTTTTTCTCCATTCATCCATTCAAATCTTATGTAATCTTAAATCCAATGGAGCAAAATCTCACTAAAATACTTCAAAGTTAAGTCATGTTTATAAGACTTTAAATACATGTACAAATGTAATTATGATTTAAATCCATGATACTAGATTTCAGCATTTGATTTGTATCAAGATATGATCTGGACTGTTTTAATGTTACTGGCTTGCAAAGAAGTTTGGCAGGATATGTATCTGTGTTTGTGTACAGTATGAAACCCACCTGTGAGTTGGGTCTCTGACTGTTTGCGGGTTCCCTCAGCGATGGAGCGTACCATGGGCATCAGGTTCTTCTTCTTCTCGTTCTGGTGGTGATGTCTCTTCAGCAGAGCCTCACGCACCTTCACTCTCACACTGTCGTCCAGCTCATGGGACGCCTCCTGGTGGTCCAGCACCATGTCTGCAACACACGGGCAAAGAAATACGTACGTATGTTCTATGTTGACCAGAACTTGAACGCACAAAAAAACTAGTTAATAAAGAGCCTAATACTCCAACTATAGAGCCTTCTTTCAACTATGAAATATTTGATTTTTCCTTTAATTGCAGTGGTTTAAAATGTTATAATCTCATACATCTGTCAATATGTAAATGTACAGTGCTGAACAGAAAGTGTATTGGAAAGGGATAGGTCAATATTTGACCAACATATCGAGTCATGTGGGATTGCAGAGAATAATCAGCATATCTTCCTCTCTCTCACCACTTCTCTCCCTGTGCTTTCTTTTTCATAGTGACTTGCTGAGTCAGCACTGGATCTTTCCTTACTCCTTTCCTTCTCTCCTCTACAGTCAATCAAACTGACACACACACACACTGCAGTGGCTGTATTCATTCTGAGCACACTTCAAGGCCAGCGCTAATGTGTCGAGCTCAGCGCCAGTATAATCAGCCATGTTAATAAGGACAGTGACAAGAGAACTGCCCAAAGGAGGCTGAAATTAAATCAAAACCCACAAATGGTACATCTGACGCAGCCTCCACTCACACATCATAAACTTGGATGGATCACTTTCCTTCTAATTTGAGACTACAGCAACAGCTCTGCCTCCTCTAGTGTATCACTTGACAGATGACCATCGGTTACTCATATGACAAAGAGACACATTCAATAATATCTGTCAAGTTCAAAGAAGTGGTCTAAGCAGCCTCCTTCATTGATTTTACTTCAACGTACTTTGTTGATGTTAATTAACAGATACTTTTAATTAAGTAAGATAAATTCTATTGGACTTGGAGAGTTATTTATCAACTGTCAGACTTTTTAAAACCAGACTGAGGTGAGAGCAAGCTCGCTTCCATTATAAAAGGATTTCCCCATACATTTACCTGCTTAAATTCCACTACAATTGAATTATTTGGACCCTGGTGGTGTTTAGAGCAGGGAGAATTACCTTCAACCACAATATCTGTGATTTTTTTTATGTTGGTATCCTATTATGTTGACATTTTCGGGGAAAGTCTGAATCAATTAGACTCTATCCTCTATCCTATAGCTCCTTTGGGCTACAGAGGTTAAGTCTTGTGTTTCAGCATAAAGGTTTTGTATAGAATATGCCTTTTATGCAACTTCAAGGATTTTCAATTACATCCTTGGTTTCAGTTCACCACACTACCAAAAATAAACAACTACATAACATAAATAACATTGGTAAAGTTTTCTGTATCTCTTCTACCATCTTGGCTAAGGTTTGGAGACCAGGTGCTGCTGGCAGGAGTCACAAGAGAGAGCAGTGGGGAGCTGGAGAAGAGGAACGACCGCAGACAAGAAGTCTGTTCAGACTGTAAACCTGTCACAATCTGACCATGAGGAAGACTGACCATGTGTGTGTGTGTGTGTGTGTGTGTGTGTGTGTGTGTGGATGGGATGGACAGGAACGTGAAATATCATTTGCAAACAATACTTTGCATTTGTTGAAATCTGTTTAATGATTAACTTTCAGACGACTGTGAGGTTTAGAGTGTGTGTGTGCGCACATGTGTGTGTGTGTGTGTGTGTACATAAATCATTTACATGTCTTTCCAATTTAAACCTATGGTCATTCACTCATTCATGGACATCTAATCGTGGGCTTGCATGCAAATTGCAGGTGCATAGTTATATGCACGCTTGTATGAAAATTAGCTTGAATTGCAGAAGCAGCTTTATTTAATTGTATATTTTAATGCAAATCAGGTTCAACAGAAGTTCAGCTGCAAAATTCCAGTAAAACACAACCACCAAGCAGCCATTCTTGTTTGTTCAACTTAAAGGGATACTCAGCGATTCTAATCCAATACACTTTTTATTAAATTCAGTAAATATTTCCTCACAGTTCGCTAGCTCTGTGTATGCTGTGAAAAAAATCTGGTTTTCCTACACAGCCCTGGGTCTGGAAATTAAACACAAAGAAAATGGCTCGGTGCGATCCCCACAACATTGTTCAAGTCAATCAGCAACAGGAGGTGGTAGAGCTCGCACCCAGCTTGTGCTGGGAGAGAGAAAGTTATAAACAGGCGCACATTCAAACATGCTGCACTCATGGCTGGAATCTAGTCGCTGTCCAGAGGGAGAGAAAGAAGAGGAAAAGGTCTGATAAGTAACTTGTGTCAAATTGTGATACAAGTTAGACCACAAGACCAGGCAAGAGGAACTCCCACCTGGTTAGCTTTGTTAGCTTAACATGAACTTGGTTTGTTTACTATTCATCACTGTTGAGTTACTTGTGGTAATCCTAAAAATTATAAATAAGACTAAATGGCTTAGACTTTGGCTTTGAAAAGTATTTTGCTTCAATACATATTTGAATATTGACAGGCTTGTTGTCACACTTTCTACAGTACTGCAAGTAACATGCCACCTTATGTTGACATAACATGGAAATAATTAGTAAAAGTAAATTTTGCCTTTTCTGTGGCTGACAACTTGGGTCTGTGTGTGTCTGCTTGTGTGTTTCTGCAGCCAGCGCGATGATCGTGCTCCCCTTAGGCCTGTACTGCATGTGTGTCTCCTCTCTTAAGAGATTATATTGATTTGTGGCGCAAATCCAGTGGGCATCGCAGCTGAGATATAGAGCCTGTACTGTGTCAATGCATTTAATATTTAATCAAGCACAGGAGCAAGAAGTGACAGGAAAATACATTGTGAAATCATCTATTTGAAGAAGCAACCAGTCACTTACACTAATGATAAAAACTTTCTTGCAATGTTCCTATAAAAATCTTTGTTCAGACAGAGGCTGCCTTTTTTTCCTAGGGATAGATAGCACTGTGGTTCTAAGATATTATTATATGTCAAATTCTCACCTGCAATCTCTTCGATGCAGTCAGCATGCATGTCAAGCAACACGCTGCCATTGATGATGCAACTGCGAAGCTCAAACAGGCTATGGAGGGAGAGAGTAGCGACATAGGGCTTGCTCCACCTCTCCCCGCCATCCTCCACGTCCTCCTCAAACTTCAGCCACCTGTGAGGTAAAGAGGGGCTGTTTTTAATGAACTTCTTAAAGTGGAATTTTGGACTTCAGTTTGCAAGTGGAAATGAACTCACATTATTCACACAATAAATAAAGTCTATTTAGCAAATGTCTATCCAGAGAGAGCTCCAGAGGTGTCTTCAGTTACAGATTAGATCCTAGATGTCTGCAGTACAGAGACAGAGTTGAACACACACCCTTTGAGACATGTTCTGGAGTGATTGTACAAAATTTCATGGGTCATGATGAGTAAAAGACTATCTAATGCAATATATTCAGTTCAGAATGAGGTAGATTTAGCCTAGCATTTGCATTCAATTTGAAATTTCACAGAATGTTACACCAGCTGTTTCACAAACAACAAGAATAAAGCTGACATTGATTTGTTTAGAAATCTACTCCCATGTATTTAAGGATAAAATAAATGAACAATATTATTTGCATTAATAATTGTCTCCAACTGGCTTTTCCTACATGCAGTTAATCATGTGATCACTTGAAAGTTGCCTTTTAAAATGTTATTCTCACACTTCATGAGTCAGTTGCTTGATAAATGGGCCTTATTCTTCACACAAGAATTTTGTTGGGTCTTCAGAGCATCCTTAAGTGTAATTCTTACAAACAGAAAGAGAGGAACATTAATCCTTAAAAAGAAAGACGTTGTCCCCATGATCCCGTAGACACATCAGCTTCACATCTTTTACATTGTGGTTTACACAATTTCCTCTCATAAATATCATAAATATGAGGGAAAGGTTTGACATAAGCATGTGAAAGAGAGATGTGGCATTTGACCAGCATGAACAAGATCACAGCACTGTTTTTTTGTCGCTCCTCTGAGCTTTTCGTCTTGAACAAACCAACCAAAAAATGATCCACTGAGCTTTAAATGTAACCAATACTCCCTCTTCATAACATTACAGCTGTATATAGCTGTCAGAAGCTTTATTGCCAAGCATTGTTGTCAACAGCTCCCGGAGGAGAGCCTGACCTGGCTGTTTCCTTCCACTCAGCATCCTTGCCATCCTTCACACAGATCTCATCCAGCTCAGTGAACAGCTCGTGGGTCACATGTTCAGCATCCTCCTCTGTGCCCAGAATGAACTGGACCCGCTGGGACGGCGTGTCTGATGAGGTGAGAAGATGTGAGGGAGGAACGAGAGGTGAGCTGTGGTTCTCAAAGACTTTCACAAACTCACACAACACTACTTACTTTATCAGTACATGCCTTTGACTACAGGGTCCACGTACACATGCATGCACACATACACACACATGCTGACTAGTTTCTGTTCTTTGATAGCTAATTAGTGGGCTTGTCAATTTTAGCCTGCAGTGCTGAACGTGTGTGTACAAGCATGTGAAGTGCCCACAGTATTGATGGGCTTTGTTTAATAATCAGTGCCTCCTCTCTAGGCGATGGATGCGCAAGTACGTTGCGTATCCACGTTCTCCACTGAGCCATGACCACTCTCTCTCCGAATCAGTAAAAATACTGGATTGGAAAAAGTAAAAGACACTGTCTGTAAAGTGGTAGTCTAAGAAGAAGTTTTGTATGTGTGTGTGTGTTACCATGACTGGAGGTGGTTGTCTCAGTTTCCTCGCTTTGTTGTGTTGCGATGCTTCCTGCCCTTTTGTCTCTCTTGCGGTGCCGAGAGCCATGGGGTTTGTGGTGACGATGGCTCTGCCTGGGCATCCGAACCCCGACAAACAGAGTCCGGTGGCCTAAAAAAGAGGCGAGAGAAGAGTAACTGAGTAACACTTTTATACACATAGTGTCATTATTTACTGATAAACAAGCAATACTGATATGCAAGCATATTGCTGTAATTTCATCACTATTGTCTATTTATTTAACAAAAATCCAACACAACAGAGATTTGAAATAAAAAACATAGAACATCATCATGGTGCTGTAAATGCCCATAAAGATTCTTGGGAGTTCAGTATCTTCCCCTTACAAGTGATTATAAATAAACTGTACTAAATGAAATATGAATACAAATCTAAGTCTGTTTTATTCAAATGAGCTTAAAGAAGGAGGAGATCCAGGAAGGCCAAAGCTCACAATGGCTCACAATGAATAGTTTTGTATTTCAGATTTCTGTGGACATTTCTGTTTCATCTTTTATTTCTTGGAAAGAAATCGTATGAAGGTTGCTACTTGAATAAATTTTTTCTCCTTGGCCTTTAGAGTGTTTCGAGCATGTTTATTTATCAGATAAGCTCTTCAATTTTGGGCTGCACCTTTATCAAATGTTGTTATAAACAAAGGCTTTTCATTTAAATTTAATTGAAAAAAAAGAAAACAGGTAGAAACCGTACAAACATTTTGTTACCTTTATGTCTGTTGTCTGTATCCTGTACTTATTTTTTGCTACATTAACCTTGTTTTTTGGTTATGTTTCTCTGATTATCAGACCCTTTTTAAGCTGAAACATACTGTTGATTTTTTTACACATAGCAAACATGCCTTTTCTGTCATTGGGATTTGTTGCTTGTGTAATTTTTTCCACTCTCTATAAATACAAACACACAAGTACATTTCATTCCAGCCGTTCTGATAATTTACAGTCCTAATAAGCTGAGGATAAAACTACCATCTTCTTGTATTCCACATGGAACAACTTAAAGAGAAAAGAAAAGAGAACAGAGCAGAGGAGGGAACTGCTAACAGGGGACAGTAGAGTTGAATTTGGGTGCCCTGTGGTCTCTTACTATAGCTCAGATGGTGAAAGTGAAAGCCATTGAACAGAGCATTGGGCGTTGGCCCAAAGCTCCAAGGGGAAAATCAGGGAACAACACCATGCTCCCTGTCCGACATGACTCTCAACTGCTGCCTTCTGTTATTATCATCAGTGTATTCAGTGTTGAATGCAACACGCTGTGATAACAAGACACTGAATGCGAGTGACACTGACATATAGGGGTTTTATTTGAATATCAAAAGAGAGGCTTGAACAGAAAATGTATAAAACTGTTCTGGCAACCTGTTGAAAAAAATGGAACATGGGTTTATCAAAGAGTCTGTGGCAGTTTGATATATAGTTAGATATTTTGGGGTGCAACGAGGAAACAAAGCTACTGAGGTGCAGCTGAGTGTTCCATCTCCGAACATGTTATTATTCCTCTTGGAAAGCAATATTGGGCCTGGTGACACACACACACACACACACACACACCTATGTTCCCCAACCGTCCTCTGGATAGATGGAGGATTTATTATTAATGTTCAGCTCTATTCATCTCCACCAGACAAGGACACAACACATACACATGTCTCCAAAACAACTCACACTGTAAATGATACACACACACACACACACACACACACACACACACACACACACACACACACACACACACACACACACACACACACACACACACACACACACACACCGCACATAGAAATGACTAAATCATGCAGAAAACGTTGCTCCGTCATACTGTTTGATAAAATATGTACGATATATAGTAAGCAGTCTTGGGAGATCTGCTGAAGGCTGCGTGAGGTCAGCTCACCTGTGGTGTAAGGTACTAATCTAAGGAATATACTGTCCTTAATCAAGTACAACTTTGCAGTACAGTCACTTTTCTTACATATGTCCATTATTTTACAATACTTCTGCGCTACTACATTTCAGCGGGAAGCATACTTTTTTTACTCCACTTTATTTAGGCAATCCAATGGATGCAGTTACTTTCCTGAAAAATATTTTAGGTTACACTTATAACTGGCCGGCAGTGTAACTATGTAGAATATAGTTTTCTCCAGTTGAAAAACTATTTACTATGTGTAATGGCAGAAAAATTGTTTCCTCTTACATTTAATCTTTTATATACTATGTACACTATGTCACTAGACCATTTTGTTGAATCTAAAAATACACAAATAATGGAGCCGTGCTTTGGAAATGCAGAGATTGAGATATCTCTGATTGTACTTTAAGAAAAGGAAAAGGAGCTAAAGCCATACAGAGATGTAGTTAAAGGATAAATCAACACTACATCTAGTTCAGCTGCCAGCATGCTGCTTCTCTGGCTGCTCCTCAATCAGTGAAAAACAAAACTTCTGAACGGGCTGTAGTCAGGTGTTTAACATTGTGGAAAGTTTGAACCAATGAACTTCAGTGTTGGATTAACTAGACAATAATGACCAAAATAATGATAATAACAAAGTCCCTCCAGTTTTCAGTCTTTTGTTTTGTGTGTGTATCACTGACATACTGTGCAGCTGACAATAGCATTTAACACCTGAAGTGTAAGGTGAATGGCTAGGCAAACAAAAAAGAAAGAAAAATGTGGATAAGTGCATTCTATTTCATCATGGTATATAAAACAACAATAATATGTTATTGTGAAAAGAAACCATTCTTCATAAATGAGAATCTTAAATTTTGGAACACTGTGGCAGACAGCAGTTCATGTCGCCCCGCTGTGTCCCTTACTGTAATGTTTTACACGATACTCACCTTCTAGTTCCTCCTTCTCATAGTGGATGTTCATTACTGAGCTGGTCCCTCCCTGGTCAACCACCACCTCCTCATCTGGCCTCTGTTGGACACATACATGCATATACACACACACGCATACAGACACAAAAGGCATGTCAGTGTGTTTCTGTTCTTTGTAGTGATATTCAGTGCAGATAATACTACTAATAATACTTTTCTTCACGATGCCCTCTGTCTCCAGCAGCCATTTTGTTCTTGTGGAAAAGTTCAACTTTGTAGAACTCCTTCAGCCCTTCAAGTCCGAAAGGAAACCTGAAAGGTCATTTTGTCCAGTAGCGTCCCGTTAAAGACGGGGTACCGACATTGTAACAGAGCCACTAATTGGCCTAACTGGCAAGAGCTTTTCAACAATGACTATCAAATTCCAGACAATCTATTCTCAGACCGTCTGCCACAGACTCACAGAGAAGGAGAGCCAGGTGCACGCACGCACACACACACACACGTTGGCTCCACAATACGATGTGAGGACATCTCGTTAACATATTGCATTCCCGAGCCCATTACCATCAACTCCATGCCTATCCTTAACCTCTGTTGTGACATGAGTACTCATGGGTTAGTGTCAATTCAGTCCCCACCAAGATATAAGAACATGAAACACACGCACACACACACACAGACACACACACACAGACACACACACACACACACACACACACGCTAGAGGTAGGACTTATGGGAGAATGTGCTAGGATCTACTATCCAGAGGAAATCAAATCAAATTAGCACAGTGTCACATCATCAAGGGCGCAGCTGTTAGCAGACTGCTGCAGGATGTACTCTCCCAGTGACCCTGCTTTCTCAGAAACAACACTGTTTGCTCAAGTGCAGTGGTGTATGTTCATGCAGGAACCTCTGCAGAGGCTCTGGAGTCCTGTGCTGCGGCACAAGTACATGCAACAGAAAATCTTTCATTTCTAATCTCCCAGAACCTGCCACATGCTGCTTAAGACAGCGAGTGTGTACCACTGCACCAAAGTATAAATCACTTCTACCCGCCCTTTGTTCTCTGGAAGAAACGTAACCTTTGACACACATCTGCATGCTGGATGCTACATCTATAAATAAATGGAGACACACACACTTACACACAGTCGTGTTTCCATCATTTTTGGACCACTACTTGCCAAACCTAACCCTTACTTTTACTACTAATTTAATGATTTACGTTATACGAATTTGCATTTGGTCGCCATAAGCAAGGCGAGTCCCCACAATGTGACTGTGTAAACAGATTTATTTCCCTTAGTATTACCTACACAAACGCACACAGACATGCATACAGACACATAAACACACATACACACACAGGTATATAAATGGTATTTTCCGCGTAAGAGATGCTTCCGCCCACTCTATATGAACACATGATCTGTATGTACTGGATGTGCTTTTATGAGTGTGTGAGGGTGGTGAATGTAGAAGATTAAAATATATGCCATTTGTGAAAACTGACACCCACTCTTAAAAAATGATGGCGCCTAGTGTTGAACTTCTCTGGAAAAAAATGAATCAGTTTGGAAATTAAATATTTTTGATGACAAAATTAATAGATGCAGAGGGATGACACAGAGAGGAGTGCATGAGAGTTACTGTTCAACAATGGAGTTCAGGGCAGAGCAGTAGTAAAATAATTAGTCAGTAAGTTAGTGACTGTTTATCATGCCTCCCTGATTTGATTTATCATCATGTACATAACCTGCATCAGCACTGCAGACCTTTAGTAAGTAAGTAAGAACCTTTATTTGTATAGCGCATTTCACAGACTTAAATAAAAGTGCTTTACAACAACATCTCGACTTAGAGCAGAGACAGTAGTGTTGTAGTACTCGAGACCCGTCTTAAGACCACTTTTTGATGGTCTTGGTCTCATCTCGGACTCAACAGCATTTGTACTCGGTCTTGTCTTAGTCTCGGACATTGAGGACTTGGGATTTTATTTCAAGACCAGTCAAGACCATAACTTTGGGAATATTTTGCATTGTCTGATTTATTTGTTAACATCCTAACTGTGACTGGATATAAAATATACTGCTTCAAATGCAACTAATAACCCTAATTAAAAATATGTTGTTACTGTTAACGACTGTCCCCCCTCCCCGTGATGGTAAACATGGAAAAGGAGTGTTGAATAAAGAGGCTTAAGTTGATTTCAGCTCTAAGTGTTTGTATGTGGGTGTTTTAGTGGAAATGTGGATCTTTCAGATCAGTTTTAGAAGTGTGATGATCCTATGATCTCGTTCCACATTTTATTGTGTGTCATGTAATGTGGGGAACTGGCCTTGGTCTTGACTTGGTCTCAGCCCCTAAAAGTCTTGGTCTTGACTTGGTCTCGGTTTGGGCGGTCTTGACTGCAACACTAAGAGACAGTATATTGGCATTTAGCATGTGTGTTTGTGTGTGCTTTGGTGCTCATATATGTGGGAATGTAACAGGCCACTCAATACATCTCACTTTCAGAGTGATAACTGAGGGGTACACACTGAAGATCTACAGTCTCTGTCATGCAGTCTTTACACTGTAATTAGTCAGTCCAATATCCAGCGGCTAGGGTAAACGCAGCAGCGCACTGCGGCTCAGGCTGCCACATGACTGCCACAGAGGCAAAAATAATTGCAATTTGTCTTCCTGAAGTGCTATTCGAAAGAGCTGGGAGTATGTATAAAACTATATTTCCCATTAATGCGAGTGATTGGTCACTTTATTAAAGCTTTCCAGGACATAAAACTACATTTGCGCTAAAGTACCCTGTTTATGTGTGTGTGTGTATGACTGTGTGTATTACCATAAGATGTGTGTATAACTATCAGCAATTTTCTTAGTTCTCCAGGGGTTTGGCTGATAAAACACCACACACAGTTTAATGACAAAAAACAAACAGTTTTGAATCATACTTGCTTCCGCCTGCGGTTATGAAATGTGATAAATGTGGATAGTGCTATATGTGTCTGTGTATATGTATTATATGAGGAGACATTCTTCAGAATTGCCATGCACGTACATGTACTTTTCCTCTCACATACATGTATGAAACTAAAGTCCATACTGGAAACCTCACACACATACAAGTGAAATGCTTTTACAGACACAACTCAACGGCTCTTACACAAACAAGAGAAATGTATGTTGTATGTGAGGATTTCAGTTGTTTGTGTGCAAGGTTTTCAGTGTAGTATGTGCATGATTTTTGTCCCCAGGCTGATCTTTAATCTTCTATCTCATTTAGCCTAAAAACAGAACAGCTAAACATATTAACACGAGAACACAAAAAGATTGTGATAAGAAAAAAACTAATTAACATGCAGTACAAACAGATAAATATTTTACCTGATTATAAGCAAAAATTTAAATCCATCTACAAAAAGCTTGCAGTTTTTATGCCAACCGCTCTAACATCAGCACAGATAGTCACTTATAATTCACACAACAGTTGAAAACAACTTCCCAAAGTCCCAAAACATCCTCTTAATTCACAGGTGTGGGTGGCCTGGCACACTCTTCCTTCCTCCTTACACAGTCTCTCCACCATATCAGTGCTGAGGGATTTCTTTCTCTCAAGACAATTCTGTCCTTTTAAAGAATAAGGCCACTTAATTAGGAAGTCATGCTTGGGCCAAACACTGAATGTGACTCGTGGTTTTATAATTATGTTTATGCAAGGAATGGAAGTGTGGTGACATAAGGAAAAGGCTTGTGATCATGAGTCTGCTGTCCCTGTCAAAGTGCAAGCCACTAAACCAGTACTTGGCTCACACACTAGCAGTAGCTACAGTGGGGCCTGAACTAAGCACTGGGCTGCTCCTAGAAGTGGAAAATATAGGAACCAAATAAGCTTAAACAAGGAAATTGTCCAAGGAAATGTCTATTTTATATACAGCCCCAAAGTAAACATTTATATGTAATTATATAAGAAATACCCACATGAAGGTCTTTATTTCAGGCAGCAGAGCATGCAGAAAACATATCAGCTATGACAAACTGCACAGACTGAAGTGTAGTGCCACAATGTCCAAGTCATTGTTACAGATCCTGGTCTTATATGTTGGGTAAAAACCACTGAAAAGATTTTTTTTACATAAGTGCACAATGTTTTATGCTCCAGGGGCCAATGAATATAATGAACCAACACAGTAAAGCTGTGGGCCGGACAGCCAAACAATGAGCTGACACTCGCTATAAAGCTCTGTAACACCAAAGGCAGCTGCACATTCAGGCGATAATTCTCTGCAGGTGCATCCCTACGACGGACCCCTTTCACATTGTCACACCATTGTTTCCACATTCTCAACTGATACATTTTTATTCAAAAATCGATAATAGCTGCTTTAAAGAAAAAAAACGTACCCCCCCACCCCTCCCACAACACACAACACACACAACACACACACACACACACACACACACACACACACACACACACACACACAGCGTTATCAGTCAATGCAGCTGTGGCTGGTGAATTAGGGCTTCTATGCAGTGTGTGGGTTTGGGCTCAGGCTGGAGGCAGCCGGCTCCATTAGAACTGGAGCTTCATCAAACATATAGACACACAACGAGAGAGAGAGAGGGGGGGGGGGGGGGGGGGGAGACAGAGAGAGAGAGAGAGAAAGCTCTTTGTCCCAGAAAGGACCATTGGACTTGGTCTCAATTTTTGTTTGGTTTCAATTAGTTTGTATCCATTTGTTGCAGACACACACACACACACACACACACACACACACACAAAGGAGGAAAATCATTCTCCCGCTCATTCAGTAACTGTAACTACAGAGTGGGTGAAATTTCAGAGAAACAGATGAAACAAAAAAAATCTTCTTTTAAGTCCTATTTTCTGGGCCAGATCAGATTACACTGCTGTAAATCCATGCATAGAATATGATGTTCCTTCTCTGGGTCCATGCTCTTCATACCACAATATGACTCACAGCCCATAGTGACCCTGGTCAAAGTTTACTAAGATCACCTTCTTAATGGCAAATTCGTGCAGGTATATTTTTTTTGACAGGTTAAAGGTGGGATTTGCGATTCTGGAGAAAT